TGGTGCCGATGGCTGGCGCGGTGGTTGGCGTGGGGGCTGGCGTGGTGCTTTGGGGGGGGGGATTTGCAGCGGTCCTGATGATGGTGCCAGGAACGCTGCGCTAATGTTGTGACGCGTGGAGTCGGCGCCCACCCACCGGTCATGGAGCTCCGAGATCAATACAGACGGGCTGCTCTCTCACAAACACGGGAACAATGGGGCATTCTGCTGGATGGTGGGACGAAATGGGGGTGGGGTTGGGGGGGGGTGAGTGAATGAGTGTGAGTTGGGGTGTATTTTACTACCAACAGTTTCTTGTTAAAATTTTAGATATACCGTTTGCACTGTAAGAGATTGACTGTCTCGGTATTATGGTGAAACTGTCTTGATGATAGGGTGAAACTGTCTTGATGATAGGGTGAAACTGTCTTGATGATAGGGTGAAACTGTCTTGATGATAGGGTGAATCTGTGTTGATGATAGGGTGAACCTGTCTGGATGATACAGTAAAACTGTCAACAAATGCTTGCTTGCTTTCCATGCACGGTCTTAAGTTGCTGTCAATTAGCTTTGCTCGGTAATGACATCATCCATCCGCTGTCAATTAGCTTTGCTCAGTAATGACGTCATCCATCGGCTGTCAATTAGCTTTGCTCGGTAATGACGCCATCCATCCGCTGTCAATTAGCTTTGCTCAGTAATGACGTCATCCATCGGATGTCAATTAGCTCTGCTCGGTAATCACGTCATCCACCGGCTGACAAGTAACGTGACGTCATTGGTCGTCCGAATGTTGTCCTATTACAGACGGCCGAGCATGGCAAACACGGCATTCTGTTCAAGTTTTGAGCACAAACAAAACTGTTTCTTATTTACTCTTTCAATAACATAAGATACAAAGATCCGGCCATGTAATGTAAGTGGTCGACTCAGTTGGTGAATAGAATGGTATAGAAAAGGAGGGGGGTGGAATAAAACGGCATTTCAAAAGTAGGACATTTAGCCTCAATCATACATGACATTACGCCTCAATCATACATGACATTAAGCCTCAATCATACATGACATTTAAATTGTGCCCGCCCCCCCCCCATTTTTTTAAAAAAAGATATCATTTGAAAATTGTCTGCCTTAGTTTTGCCCTACGGGTCCATCTGAGAGTAAGACAAAAAGTCACATGACACGACCTTGATGACCTTTAGGACATCCTCTTTGGATAATGTCATTGCCTGGAAGCGGGGAAGGTGCCATGTGTTTCAGAGACATTACGAATAGCATACGTCACAGAGAAACCTGACGCATACACGCGAGGATTTATTGCAGACGTGAAGATCCCGAACGAAGACACTGTCCAGATCTTTGTGGACTGAGAGATCCCAAACAAAGACACTGTCCAGATCTTTGTGGACCGAGAAAACTCTCCAAATTCACTAAGCAGGTGAGATCTTAGATTTTAAATAGTATAGTTTTCAGCTGCCTGTCTACTGGCCGATGTCAGTTTACGAAAAAAGTTACTGCCCTTTTTCGTATGGTGCATCTGGGTCAAGCGGATCGGAACAATCCGAAAATTGTTTCCATGGCTACCGATATTGAAGAGGAAGTTATCAAAGGAATACCTGCAATTGAGTATTTTTTTTAAAAAATCAACTAGTTGAATGAGCTATCAACTGACGAGACAGAGATGCCATATTAATCAACTTTGATTAGCGAGGTGTAGTCAAGACGTAGAAGTGTGGGCATGGGGCAGCTTGTAGCAACATCATCCATTCCTTCCCCACCAACAAGGTCAATGATATCAGAGAGTACAATTTTACTGTTACGCCGCCTTGTTCGAATGAAGGAAGATTTACTGAAGTTTCTGGGACAGTTAATCTCTAACCCGAAAGTAAAAACAGATGATGAATGTATGGCTATGCTGCTAGCATTGCTAGAGCACCTGTAAATTTACTCCCAACTTGTCAATGAACTTAATACGGTATTTTTCTTCAACTACTGCAAGGGTGCCACAGACATACTTTAAACTGATCAATAGGGAGCATGTGTTGAGAAAGGGGGAGGGGGAGAGATTTTTTTAGGATGTCATGTGAAAAATAAAATATAGAAAGGTTTCCATTTTACAACCCACCCACCACCCACCCCCTCTTTTTTTGTGAAGTACTGTAACCTTAAAAATAAATGTAACATTTGACTCAGAATCAGCAAACAACGAATTCTCCCTGCTTTACATTTTGTTTCTTGGTGTGATTGTATCAACACAATCTCCAACCCAGTGACCAAGGATGCATCTCCCTGCTTTACATTTTGTTTCTTGGTGTGATTGTATCAACACAATCTCCAACCCAGTGACCAAGGATGCATCTCCCTGCTTTACATTTTGTTTCTTGGTGTGATTGTATCAACACAATCTCCAACCCAGTGACCAAGGATGCATCTCATTAGCAACAAACAAAAACAAAAAAGAAAATTGCTTTTCCAAAAATGTACTGACTAAAAGTAAAAACGAACAAATAAAGATCCCTTAAAACTGGAGAGTTGCTACAGTCACGTGACTAAAACAAGAGGACCAGGCACCAGGCACACTTTAAGTCAAAGTTCTTTGTTTGAGCTCAATTGGAGGTCAGGAAGTTTTAGGAAGTGGGTCAAAACTTGTTTGAGCTCAATTGGAGGTCAGGAAGTTTTAGGAAGTGGGTCAAAACTCGTTTGAGCTCAATTGGAGGTCAGGAAGTTTTAGGAAGTGGGTCAAAACTCGTTTGAGCTCAATTGGAGGTCAGGAAGTTTTAGGAAGTGGGTCAAAACTCGTTTGAGCTCAATTGGAAGTCAGGAAGTTTTAGGAAGTGGGTCAAAACTCGTTTGAGCTCAATTGGAGGTCAGGAAGTTTTAGGAAGTGGGTCAAAACTCGTTTGAGCTCAATTGGAGGTCAGGAAGTTTTAGGAAGTGGGTCAAAACTCGTTTGAGCTCAATTGGAGGTCAGGAAGTTTTAGGAAGTGGGTCAAAACTCGTTTGAGCTCAATTGGAGGTCAGGAAGTTTTAGGAAGTGGGTCAAAACTCGTTTGAGCTCAATTGGAGGTCAGGAAGTTTTAGGAAGTGGGTCAAAACTCGTTTGAGCTCAATTGGAGGTCAGGAAGTTTTAGGAAGTGGGTCAAAACTCGTTTGAGCTCAATTGGAGGTCAGGAAGTTTTAGGAAGTGGGTCAAAACTCGTTTGAGCTCAATTGGAGGTCAGGAAGTTTTAGGAAGTGGGTCAAAACTCGTTTGAGCTCAATTGGAGGTCAGGAAGTTTTAGGAAGTGGGTCAAAACTCGTTTGAGCTCAATTGGAGGTCAGGAAGTTTTAGGAAGTGGGTCAAAACTCGTTTGAGCTCAATTGGAGGTCAGGAAGTTTTAGGAAGTGGGTCAAAACTCGTTTGAGCTCAATTGGAGGTCAGGAAGTTTTAGGAAGTGGGTCAAAACTCGTTTGAGCTCAATTGGAGGTCAGGAAGTTTTAGGAAGTGGGTCAAAACTCGTTTGAGCTCAATTGGAGGTCAGGAAGTTTTAGGAAGTGGGTCAAAACTCGTTTGAGCTCAATTGGAGGTCAGGAAGTTTTAGGAAGTGGGTCAAAACTTGTTTGAGCTCAATTGGCGGTCAGGAAGTTTTAGGAAGTGGGTTAAAACTCGTTTGAGCTCAATTGGAGGTCAGGTAGTTTTAGGAAGTGGGTCAAAACTCGTTTGAGCTCAATTGGAGGTCAGGAAGTTTTAGGAAGTGGGTCAAAACTCGTTTGAGCTCAATTGGAGGTCAGGAAGTTTTAGGAAGTGGGTCAAAACTTGTTTGAGCTCAATTGGAGGTCAGGAAGTTTTAGGAAGTGGGTCAAAACTCGTTTGAGCTCAATTGGAGGTCAGGAAGTTTTAGGAAGTGGGTCAAAACTCGTTTGAGCTCAATTGGAGGTCAGGAAGTTTTAGGAAGTGGGTCAAAACTCGTTTGAGCTGAAGTGGAGGTCAGGAAGTTTTTAGGAAGTGGGTCAAAACTCGTTTGAGCTCAATTGGAGGTCAGGAAGTTTTAGGAAGTGGGTCAAAACTTGTTTGAGCTCAATTGGAGGTCAGGAAGTTTTAGGAAGTGGGTCAAAACTTGTTTGAGCTCAATTGGAGGTCAGGAAGTTTTAGGAAGTGGGTCAAAACTCGTTTGAGCTCAATTGGAGGTCAGGAAGTTTTAGGAAGTGGGTCAAAACTCGTTTGAGCTCAATTGGAGGTCAGGAAGTTTTAGGAAGTGGGTCAAAACTCGTTTGAGCTCAATTGGAGGTCAGGAAGTTTTAGGAAGTGGGTCAAAACTCGTTTGAGCTCAATTGGAGGTCAGGAAGTTTTAGGAAGTGGGTCAAAACTCGTTTGAGCTCAATTGGAGGTCAGGAAGTTTTAGGAAGTGGGTCAAAACTCGTTTGAGCTCAATTGGAGGTCAGGAAGTTTTAGGAAGTGGGTCAAAACTCGTTTGAGCTCAATTGGAGGTCAGGAAGTTTTAGGAAGTGGGTCAAAACTCGTTTGAGCTCAATTGGAGGTCAGGAAGTTTTAGGAAGTGGGTCAAAACTCGTTTGAGCTCAATTGGAGGTCAGGAAGTTTTAGGAAGTGGGTCAAAACTCGTTTGAGCTCAATTGGAGGTCAGGAAGTTTTAGGAAGTGGGTCAAAACTCGTTTGAGCTCAATTGGAGGTCAGGAAGTTTTAGGAAGTGGGTCAAAACTCGTTTGAGCTCAATTGGAGGTCAGGAAGTTTTAGGAAGTGGGTCAAAACTCGTTTGAGCTCAATTGGAGGTCAGGAAGTTTTAGGAAGTGGGTCAAAACTCGTTTGAGCTCAATTGGAGGTCAGGAAGTTTTAGGAAGTGGGTCAAAACTTGTTTGAGCTCAATTGGAGGTCAGGAAGTTTTAGGAAGTGGGTCAAAACTTGTTTGAGCTCAATTGGAGGTCAGGAAGTTTTAGGAAGTGGGTCAAACTGAGATGCCAATTTGACAAAACACACACACACAGCAACAAATGGAGAGAACAAAAGATATTTCAACATTTTTATTCTTTTTGCATGGTAAATGAAATCTTGACAAAATTAATGGAAGAAGAAAAATGTACATAAATATCCTAACAAATATCTTTGTCATTTTTAAAGGGACCCAGTGATTTCCGAAGTGAAAATTTGAAAATTTCATATGTTCAGATCACACAATCTGGCAGCTATGGAAAGCATTATTTAAACTGAAAATACTGTGTCACAACTGAGGCCTTTGTTGGTGTTGTGTGTGCTACCTGATTTACTTAAACCAACAAGACTATCTAACAAATGAGGCCTTTGTTGGTGTTGTGTGTGCTACCTGATTTACTTAAACCAACAAGACTATCTAACAAATGAGGTCTTTGTTGGTGTTGTGTGTGCTACCTGATTTACTTAAACCAACAAGACTATCTAACAAATGAGGTCTTTGTTGGTGTTGCGTGTGCTACCTGACTCCCACACCTTTCAGGTAAGATTCATCATCATCAAAATGGTTAGAATTTCCTATTTGATCTTCCAGACTTTGGATAAGATTTCCTTTATTCCTCCGTTCCTTTGAAGATGCCTGACTTCTAAAGTCATATTCAAATAGTTCTGGTTCTCTTTTGAGGATCTCAACATATGCGTCACAAAACCTCCTGATGTCTTCCACAGAGAGTTCAAACGGTCGTTTCTCTGGGTTGATCCCTGACAACTCTATCATGTCAGTGCACAAGTCCTCTCGCTCCAATGGGAAAAATGTGCTGCAACATCATGTTAAGAATGACTTCATGTTAAGAATGATTTCATTCAGGAAATGTCAAACGAAAATAACTGTGCTAATTCATAATACTCACTTACGGGAACTTCTATTCTAGGATAAAGTTCAAACACAATTTTTACAAACTCAATCGCTACTGAAATCTTAAGGTATTTAAGCATGCGTTACATTTAACATAGTGTTCATAAATGCCAAAGCCTTTCAAGTGCAATATCCCTTCTGAACCAAGGCACTATGAAAATGAAAATACCGGGTACTTAAAATTAAGAGCCAATTTATTTGGATTGTACTAATGTTTTCACATTTTCAGAAATTGATCCACCCTAGGTCAGTGGCATCACAACTCTTACTTCATTAATGCTGAAATTTCCATTGAATTATCTTTAATAAAGATTATACTTCCAAATGCAGTCCAACCCCCTTATCTCGACCTCGGACCTCTTTGTCTTAGCATTTTCTCCTCAGTTATGTTGATTCTTTTATGTCACCGAACCCTGAAATCTCGAGTACAAAAGGTGGCTAAATTTGCCACTTAACCCCGGTTATCTCCATCCCCATGACTAATCGCCTGCTTTTGAAAATTATATGCAACAGATACGTGCCTCCTTCAAACTGAAGTAATTGAAATGAAATGACAATATTGTTGTCCTCGCAATTAACTTGACAAAGTGAGAGGCTTGCAAACAAAAGAGAGAGGCGAGGTCGCTGTACCTGTTCTATTTATAGCGAACCCACTTGTCGCTTAATACTTAATAGGCTTTCACGCGTTCTTACAGGTTTATTTTTTTTTTAAAAACCCAAAATCCGTATTTGAATATAATAAATGGCGAATCCGGACCGAGAGATAATAAAAACTCGCTAATCCGGAGCTGAAAAATATTTAGCCTCACGAATCTGGAATTCTGGGATAATCCAGAAAAGTGACACCCCACATATGCCTTGTGTTGTTAGCAAACATGTATGTACATTTTTATAGCATGCCGATAGCTTCATCAAACACATCGCGGTAACCCATGTACAGCTCATTTATAAACGTGCATCGTGTAGATATAGAAATTTCAAGCACATGTTACTGTTTTGCCACCATATTGGTTTTTGTTTATCTCGACGCTATTAGGCAAACCCAAGGCCGTCGACATAACAGAGTTATACTGTAGTAGTTTTAAATAAAAAATTATATGATGCAGTTACTGAAAATATCCTGCAAATATTTAAGTCTAAAATGGAAGTAGAACCTTAAATTTGAACTGAAATAAAGAACCATAACTCTCAATGTTTTCAACATGTATATGTGACACCTTTTATCTACTTAAAGCCAGATGAGGTTCTGAAAAAAAAAATGTATATTTTGTTTCAAAAAGTGTTTTCATGCTTAAGGTATTAATCGACATATGATTTGGTGCACTAAAAGTTATTTTTGAGCCATATGTTTAACTCATTCCCTCCTGCAATGCTACTTCCGTATTTAATTTATTTGCCTGAGAAAGGGAAGTAACCCCGTTTTGAAATTGTTTTCATTTTTTAAATATGTATTTCAGCTACTAAATATTATTTAATGTTAATGAATTAAGAACAAATGCACCTAAAAATGAATAAGGTTTAATATAAATATAACATTAGCGCGGAAAAAATAACGAACAATTACCAAAAAATCAATTTTCGGCACCTCGGACGAACACATGCTACATATAGATGCGCCGTACTATAGCACACGTAGTTTTAAAGTGAAACAAGATAAAAACTTCCGGTTTTTAAATTAAAATCACGCTGAACCACGCCAACGGCGGAAGTCTCGAGGGATGCGAGATTTCATTGCTATTTTTAAATAGATATGAGAGAGGTGTGTCACTATGCGCCGGGACGCATTTGGACGCATCCGTCAAAACCCGTAAAAGACACATTTAGTCGAAAACGTCAGGAATGAGTTAAAGACAGACCTTGTATGCTTTCAGAGGATTCTAAGAATTAATGATTACCTCACAGCTTTTGAACAATATTTGTTTGGTAAATGGAAGAGATGACGGTTAACCTTTTCAACAACTTTGAATGGTTGATTGATCAATGGTTTGATCTTCGGCACAAAATGGACGACACCAACATCCACTTTTGGCGGAGGTACAAAAGCTCTGCCTGAAATAGTATCATTTCATGAATTATATGATGCAACAATAAACAGATCGACTACTTAACAGATAAATGATGTTAAAATAAACAGATCGACTACATAACAGATAAATGATGTTAAAATAAACAGATCGACTAAATAACAGATAAATGATTTCACAATAAACAGATCAACTACATAACAGATAAATGATGTTAAAATAAACAGATCAACTACATAACAGATAAATGATGTAAAGATAAATATCCTTAAAGATTTGACATTTATGACGTCTCTTTTCTAAGGAACTTACCAGGTATGGAAAATTTTAATTTGACATCACATAAGTATTGGCACATTACAGACAATCGACATCTGTATTCTGATTTGGGAGGAGCCACAATTCTCTCTGCCACCTGAAATAGCAAGCATGGTGTAGAATAAACAATTTCTTTACACTGTTCATAATATTTAAGATAGCATCAGGAAATGTAAGTTAGTGAAAAATATTTTATTGGCTTTGCTTGCAAGTATTAAATAATACTACATGAATTTTTTTTTAAATTTGACTAGATAAAAATTTATCAAAGACCAATAAAAAAAAGAAAATATTTCAGGTACTTACTTCCTTTTGAAATGTTAAAGTCAAAGGGATTCGCCCCAATGACCATGCCGATGACCTGGTAGATATGCTGTGAAGCCACTGTATAATCAAAGGCGTTGAGACACTGAAAGGGAGGTTGCCAATAATGTGAACCAGTGGAGGTGAGCTGTCCCACTGTGTCTGGCAGGCAGAGGGTATCAGACTGCTTAAGTTGGTGGAAAGAATATCTCCATGAATAGCTTCAAGCCTTTGTTTGCTAGCCTCAGCCAATATCTAAATTTTGTGATACAGGTAATGCAAAGATAAAAATGATTAAATTAATACCAGTTTATTAAATATACACTGGTGACGAGTTACTAGGAACATCATAAGAACATCTACATTGTAGTAGCAGACAACCATTTTATACCATATATAGAGGTGTAAAAAAAAAAAAGAAAGAGTTACTCCTTTTCATTATAATGTTGCTTTATGTACAAGCTGCTCATATCTCTGAATTCCAAAAAGACCGGATTACCGGTACATTGAGTCCCAAGTATATTTCAGAAAAGTAATATTTATTACAAAATAAGCTAATCCACACAATTCATATGATTCAAAAGAACAATATTATTAATCATAAACACAATAAAATTAATTAGATTGGAACTAAAGCATAAATGATTAAATTACATTTTCATTATTAAATTAAAAATTTGTTTGATTTGTCTTAAACAAGTTCAAATTTAAGACTAACTTGAGTAAAAAAAACTTTAAAATTTTTAGATATTAAAAACTAATTATTAAACAGTAATTAGTTTACAGCAAGTGTGTCCTTTTTCTCATATACTACTGATGTTTAAAAATAAATAATTTGATCCATTGAAACTTGTGCTTTAAATTATTTTCCAGGAAGATTACTGTTTATACTTTCATTGTGGCGTTTATTAAGCCTAAGCCTTAAGTAAAGATATTAAAAGATTATCTGTGATCATCTACTTATGATTAGTTATTGGTATTAGGCTATAAAAATGCTTTTCAAATAACATGTTTGTGGGTTGTTGGTTAGGCTATCCCAGGGCCATAAAGAGGCCAAGGCAGTTCAAGTAAATCACTCAGGGACCAGCCCGCTTGGGCTGAAATCGATCCTTTTAAATTGTGGGGCCTAAAGTTTGGATTTCCATGGGCCCAAAAATCCTCTGCACAGCCCTACATTTTTCATTAGTACCAGTGGTTTATGATGCATACAGTCAATTCATACAGTCAGAATGCCTTTCAAAAGCCTTTGCATTAGAATATGAAGCTATTCATAATAAGATAAAGATAATTATGACCCTAGATATATATTTTATTTCTTTAGTCTTTAGCCTCAGGTGTAGCAATCCTAACATACTAACATTAACTATTTATTAACTTGATTATGATTACATGCAAATCATTTAATCAATAAGTCACCTGTAAGCTTGGTAAAAATCTGCTATCCTTTTCAATAACAATAATTTTGTTGGCATTAGAATTGAGTAGGGGCCTAGTTATCCCTCCAGGACCTGGTCCAACTTCTATGACGATGCAACCATCCAATATTCCAGCAGATTTCACTATCTTTTTTGTTAAATTTAGATCAAGTAAAAAGTTCTGTGACAATTTCTTTCTAGCACTAAGGCCATAAATGCGAATTATTTCTTGTATTGAGGGAAGTGGGGGTAATCTCTGCATCATTTGACAAAAACTTAAGCCTATACTATTGACAATTTTCATCCAACTTAAACTAAATTAGTTAAAAATTGGTGATTTATTTTATAATAAATTTATATCGGTGCTCTAGGACTAAGACTAAGACTAAGACAATACGACGACGTCGTCGACCTTTACTTGTTTAGATGAGAGGTATATTTCATGAAATTTAAAAGTATCTTTTAGTTAGAATTACATATATAAGTTTTGAATAACCCATTTGTGTGTTATGTTAATTTTTATTTGCCTAATATTTGGCCATTCATTTTACTTTGACGAACATAAGAATAGACTAAATACTAAATAAATTGTTGGAAGTCTTTAGTGTTAAAGTGTAATCTGTGAAGTACGATAACTCCAATTTACTGGTTGAAATGTATCGTCGCCACGACCACTTCCGTTATCACAACTTTAATAAAATACAAAATATCAAATTATTTACAGAACTATTATTAAAATTTATTTTAGTAAATTTGATATAAGTTTATTCTCATCAAACTGTAAATTATATTTTAGTTATTTTTAAATTATCAAAATCATAATTATTAGAACTAAAAAGATGAAGTCGTAAAACAAGGTCGCTATTTGCCATATTGCAATATATTTCCTGTTAGATATGACGTCAAGCAAGTGATCCGCCAGCTAACAAACTTTATGTGTATTAAACTTAGGCCTATGTATTTAAGGATTAATAGTTTTCCGAAAACACAGATAACTGTGTCTATATAAACATTTATTTTGATTATGGCAGATTTTCTGAAGTCAGCCTTAGGAGGCATAATTGGGAGCGGTAGTGGACAGAGTCGAGAAGCAAATGATTTTGTCGGTCAATTTGTTGAGCTTGGTAACCAAAAACTGAGAGTGAAGCGTCTCATTGCAGAAGGTACCCATATATATTAGATTTTAAATTCTCAACTGTTTATAATGAAGGGTAAATTTTGGGTTAGCAGTTTGCCTAGAGGGTAACCTTGGAGAGATAGCAACCGTGGCCGCCATCTTGGTTGCAGTGACCCGCGAATTTATGTCCCAAATGTATCCCTAAACCTAACCTGAACCCTAAATCTATCCATAAACCTAACCTGAACCCTAAACTTATACCTAACCTGGGTTTTGACCCTATCGGAACCAGGGTTTTGACCCTATCGGAACCTGGGTTTTGACCCTATCGGAACCTGGGTTTTGACCCTATCGGAACCAGGGTTTTGACCCTTTCGGAACAAGGGACAAGACACGCAAATGACGTCAGTGTGCTATCTCTCCAAATTAGCGGCCTAGAGTTGTCTCAACCTAAGCGCAGTTAGGTAACTTTGGGAATCCCAACACTAGACTAACGAGTGAATAGACCACTTACTTGCATGACATGGTACTTTTCAATTAAAACTTTTTGTAAAAATAAACCAATGGCATAGTTGAATATAGCTAATTTTATAAAGCATTATAACACCAAAATCATATTTTTAATGATAATTTTATACAAATTTTATTTTCAGAACTAATGCTGTATTAAAAAATAATAATAATGTTTACAATTATAGATAAATTGTAGCTTATCTTCTAACTAGGCACTATTTATATCAGTAAATTTAATATAATGTATTAATATAAAGCTTTTTTTTTTTACCAAATCTACAACGTCCATTTTACCGATATAAGCTATATAGTCTATATAAGGCAACTCATACCCTAATTACTAAAATACTGTTTGGGAACTACTTATTTTGAACATTCAACTTTGGCACATGACTCATTAATTAAAGCTTTCCCTGACCTGGTTTAATGGTTTTTTATGAATGAAAACTCTGAGATAGTACGGTATAGCCATTATGCAAGTCACAGTGAATAGCTGACAATGGCCATTACATTTTGCACACGGCAAATTATGATCATTTATAATATGGACTCTACTGGGTTTTTTAACCTCAATTAAAATATTATTCTTTCAATAACATTCAAGTTCTTTCTAAAACATAAGTTATCAAATATTTTGATGTAAATAGTGGAAATAATTAAATATTTCCTAATTATTGGCGTCTTCCCCCATTGAAAGGGGGCGTGATCACTTCCTTGTCCAAATTGGGCTGAGCTGCATTACAATATAGCGGTTTAATTAAATGAGCATAATAAGTGGCCAACATGTCCCAAAGCAATGAAAATGACACAAATATACATTGATAAATAATACAGAGTAAGACTTAATATGAAAGACATAAAAGTTGAACTTCTATACACATTTTTTATTGAAAGATGCCTTATATTTAAAGGGGAATTTCAAAATACAGGTCGATTGAAAAAATCCAAACAAATCAATGAAAATGTAGGCCAAAATGTCTACCAAAATGAAAGGCAGGAAACAGAACTCAAATATATGTTAAAAGTACTATTTAATAATAAATAGACACACACATCGGATAATTAAAAAATCAGATATTTTTTTCTCACCGATTCCCCATTTCCGATAAACAAAAAGTAGTGGTCTCCCTTGCTTTACCAAAGTACCTAGTATGACCTGAACTTGTGTGTGTGTGATAACTTTCCTGTTCTTCAATCATCAATGAGCATTACTCGCATCATAAACTAAATCTGATGATTGGTACGGTTAATATGAAGTATATTAAAAGGAAAGTTTACATTCATTTGTAGTAAAATTCAAGTTACAAGTGTCAAAAGTATTTAAAAAAAGAAAGACATCCTTGCTGATACGCCTTGATGAACCCCAATGAAAAAAAAAATCTACGCTAAAAGTGCTGTCTTTTGATTAGTTAAAAATCAAAGTACCCCTATGCTAAAACTTCAGTAACACTAATGAGACTACTATTTAATTTTAATCTGAAATGGACGTCACTGCAGTAGCTTAGGAAATATAAATCTATTACTATTACCACTTTATACATCAAAATATTAGATAACTTGTGTTTCAGAATTAATTTAAAAGGTATCTAAACCAGAATATATTTATTTCAGATTTAAAAACACAGTAGAGTCCATTGGTATTATAAATTGTCAAATTTGCAAAATCTCAGAGTTTCATTCATAAGAGTTTGCCCTATGGAAACACTATTAAAACCATTGGCATTGGTCATGAAAGCTTTAATTACTTACTTGTGTAAGAAAGATAAAAGTTTAAAATAAGTAGTCCCTAAACAGTATTTTATTAATAAGAAATAAGGGGGATGTGTCGCCTTATTTAGCCTGGTATAGTATAATGGACACCATTGACTTGGTAAACAGAAAAGCAAAAGCCAAACAAATTAATATAGTATATTAAATTTACTGATAATACATAATGCATAGTTTAAAAAAAAGGACAAACAAACACCCACTTTGAAAATCATTAGCTCAAAAACTGCTAAAGCTAGAAAGTTGATTTTGGTTTTATTTTTTAATTTCATGTTTTCTTTAATGAACAGTAATACTTTGATAATTTTTTGAATATTTTGATACCAAAGTATGTATTATATGTGAATACTTCTGTTCAACTACCAGTATTGTCCATAGCCTATATAGGTCAAAGATATTTCACTAACATAGAGGCAGAGGCCTACAGATCATTTTATTAATCTGGTTTTTCTAATTTTCTCAGATTTAAGAGTAAAAATTTGCTCAACTCATTATTTGAGCTTTGATTTGACTTGAGCTTGTAGTTCAACATTCTAATGCTACATGCTAGGCCTAAACTTTTCAATATGAATTATATTTGTTTATGAATCTGGTCTGATGACTATTAAGACTTAACTAAAATTAAGATGTAGAGCAGAGAAACTAGAATAAAATACATTAGACATCAGGTCAAGACCATTTCTTATTCCTTTAAGAACATATCTCTTGTAATTATCCATGTCAGGGTTCTGCATCATTTTTTTCACTTGGGCCTTTTTCAGAATTCTACCGCGCAGACACACTAAAGTCAAAAGTAAAAAAAAAATGCCAAAAATTTTTGATAACAGGGTGCAAACAGTAAATATAAAATTAACATAAGCCCATAGAATTTATAACTTTTATACAAAATCACAGAATATAGTTAATATTCATAATTGCACGTATTGCTATAATGTATCATTTGACACAATATTGTTCCATATTGACTTAATGTTAGACACATTTCTATAGCTGTAGTATTAAACAGCTTGGAATTTTAGGTAAAAAAAATTTCCCCTGTGTATTATAAATTATATTTACGTGCCTACATATATTGTCTGTGCTTTTTCCTCTGCTATACACTTAGTTTACATACTCTTACCGCATACCAGTGTGCCAAGCTATGATTTACCCACACGAAATTTGAAATACATTGATTTTTTTTTCCATATTAAAGCACTAAATGTTGTACATAAATAGAGTTAACTTTGATTAAATTTTATGCTTTTACAACACAAAAAAGTTGAGATTTTTATTTTCAAAATGGAAAATATTGAGTTGCATACCTTCCAACATGTGTTGTTAGTAACTACAATATTTATTACTAGATATAGCCTGCCAAACATTGATGACAGCAATGTGTGAACTTCCTATCTACTAAAGTTACTTGACAAAAAGGATTAAAAAATTTTTTTTCCTATTATTGGCTTCAAATCAATAATCATTTAACATGATAAAGCACCAACAAAATTAAAAAAATGTTCCTAACACAACTGATGACCTGTTGATTGATAGCACCCATTATCATACAGGATGCCTAGAAAATAAGGATCCCTAGGAAATAAGTTAGGCCAGATTCTCCCAATGATATCCATAATGTTTTCCATGTTTCTGGTTTTGGCAATACATGGCCAGAGACCTTGGTAGTTCTAATAATCAGTGAGGTCTAGTTCAGCACATGCCTGGTTTTCGAAGGGATGGATGGCTAAGGGAGCTGACTTATGTTTTTATTAACTTAGTTCAAAACATGATATGAACTGTTGTAAATTTTATATTAATTTGGGAAGAAAAAAGAATTAAAGTTTCAAAGTAAGCTAACCAATTCAATTAGTTGTTTTTTTCCAAATATGGATTGTGGGGTTGCTTTTGTCTGAATACAATCTATTAATCAGAAATAATAAAAATGTTCTCTTCCAAAATATAAAAAAAAAACAAACAAAAAATATTTAATTCAAATTGTAAAATTGCATCCCAGAGAGAAAGAAAAATACTGACATAATGTCAGACCAAATGTCTAACAAGTGGAACAACAAAGGCTTAATATTTAACTGCTTGGAAACAAATTGTTTCTATTTAAATCATGCAGAAATGATATTATTATTTACTGAAAACAATTTGGTGCTAGTTCACTACCAGTATCAAAGGCACAGTGAACTGTGTGCACAAATTGTCTTACCAGTCTTCATGTCTTTTAGTTTCACTTGTACTAGTGGCTTGGTGCAGCAGGAACTGTAATGGCAATGTTTTAGTTTAACTTCAACTAGTGGTCAGGGGCTGCAGGTACGGTATTGCCAATGTCTTAGTTTAACTTCTACTACTACTAGTGGCCAGGCCCAGCAGGTAGGTAATGCCAAAATTAACCTTTTAAAATTGTGCATCATATTGTCATGTTTTATTTCCTTGCCATCTTGGTTTCTTCAACTATAAATAATATAAAATCTCCTTGATGTATCCGAGTTATGATGTTCTGTTTTGAAATAAATATTTTGAGCAACAATTGTTTTTATGCGAGCGTTGATGTGATTAGCTCTAAAAAGACTATGAGATAAAAATACAGAAACTTGTGCATCGAACTCATATTGGTTAATTGAAAACTTTTCTCACTAGTAAGATCTAAACTACATTAACTTTGCTTATTTTAATATTTTATTTCCCATCAAACTGCCACTGGGAATTGAAAAAACATGATTAATTCAATATAAAAACTTTTTCCTTGTAACAAGAGATATTTAATGTCTTATACATAATGATTCAAATTTGTAACCTAGTATTTCATCTGATCATCAGTTTCTAATGAAAGTATTTTTTTACCAACGTGCACCAAATGATGACCTTTGTTTATACACTTATGTGAGAGCCTTTATTTCCTGAACAGCTAAGAGCTTTTTAGTCTCAAGGCCATTTGATATTTTTGTCCTAAAATAATGTAGAGACACAAATTAAAGTACTTGAAAAAGAAGTCTATTTAACTTCCCGGATATTAAAAGTTATGTTCATAAATTTTGGCCTACTTTTAATTACTTTATATCAGGTCACCTTTAAGTACTGCTGATAAACTAAGTTAGTAATTGTTTTAGCATGTTTCTGATTTCACTGATGTGTTCAAACAGTATTGGTAGGCTTGCTGTTAACCTAGCCCTCTCACTCTCCTGCTGAACCCAGCCTAACTGGAAGCAGCATCCAGCCAGGCCAGCAAATATTGAATTATTGATTGGTGTGATGCCAGCACACACCTAAGAACAAGCACTGGCCAACATGGGAGAACAAGCTCACAATTCTTGGTCCGTTTTCAGAGGGGGCTGCATTCAGCCAGTCCATGTTCCTGCCACCATAAGTGTGTCATGTGGAGTTGTGGGCGGGGAGCCGATTAAAAATTCATAGTCTGCTTTATGTTTTTTCCTCTCCTTTGGTGTGTTGGCCAATAGAGCCATAACTGTTGATGAGTCTCAGAAATGTAAAACTACAAATCTTCTTCCTGGTATCTTAATTTAGATATACTCTTTTATGGCTTTAATAATATTTATGTTTTAATTTGATATTTGTAAAGCTTTTTTATTATTTCTTTACTCTTGTAACAGCAGCTTACATTAAACAAAAACTGAAAAAAGAAAACTAAGTAAACATGAAGAAAATTGTCATGATGTGTGACAACACACTGTTTAACTGTGGATGTTAGGTGCTCAAACCCAGGCTGACTTGTCGCCATTGGTTCTTATGTATCGTACTGATGTCATTGCAGGGGGATTTGCCTTTGTGTTTGTTGCACAAGATGCCAGTAACGGGAAAGAGTATGCTTTAAAGGTAAGATATTTATCTTTAGCATGCTGAAGTTAATCACCAGTCCATGGACACATGTTAAACTATTAAATTATTCATTATGCTTTAGTGTTTTCATCTTAAACCCCCCCCCCCCTCCCCAAAAAAAAAAGTATGTAGGAAAGGTATTTGTCTGTGTGTAAAGACCTGGATTCAAAAACAGATATAACATAAATATAAATTTGTTATAAAAGTTTTGTGAAGTTGGCTGCTACTATTTTTGGGTCACTCTGAGTTTGTGTTCAGATAAACATTGTTAAAAAAATGATGAAGCCCATTATCAGATTAGTTACATTCCATATCAGAAAAATATGACCAATTAACTTACTGAACTTACTTGTTATGTGTGCGTCATGGCAAGAAGATAAAGACAGATGGGCGGGACTTACTTTATTGCTTAGTTAAAAAATCATCTGTTGATTATTGATTCTAGGATTCATTCTATGCATTCACTTTTTTAAAAAACCATTTAGAGACTTCTGGCCAATGATGAAGAAAAGAACAAAGCTGTTTTAGAAGAAATTAAATACTTGGTAAGTTGGATTGACGTGAACTGTTGTTATGTGGATTAGTGAACAGTTGTGAAAATGAAATTTAAATGGTGGAAGGCATTGAGAAATAAATGTATTTGAATTAACAAGTTTATGATTTACTTCCAGAAAAAACTCTCTGGTCATCCAAACATTATCAATTTCATCTCAGCAGCTGCAATCAGCAATGAACAATCTGACCATGGGCAGTCAGAATACTTACTATTAACAGAGCTCTGCGGAGGTCAGTGCATACGATTTCCCGTGGAGGATATTTTTCATTAGAAATTATGCATTTCACTTGTTTAAAATTGAATTATAATGAGAAATCATTTATCAATCAAATAGTAACATGTTACTGTGGCCAGCATTAACTCTCCCCATTAGTCATCACCTGTGAGTCCTGTCTCAAGCATGACCTAACTTGTGTGGTGCAGCCCAACACCATTGTGACCTAAGTGTTGTGTGGTGCAGCCCAACGGATGGAGCCCGACACCATTGTGACCTAAGTGTTGTGTGGTGCAGCCCAACGGATGCAGCCCGACACCATTGTGACCTAAGTGTTGTGTGGTGCAGCCCAACGGATGGAGCCTGACACCATTGTGACCTAAGTGTTGTGTGGTGCAGCTTAACGGATGCAGCCCGACACCATTGTGACCAAAGTGTTGTGTGGTGCAGCCCAACGGATGGAGCCCGACACCATTGTGACCTAAGTGTTGTGTGGTGCAGCCATTGTGTTATCCAGAGTCATTAGCAACTAACCCAGAGTGTTAACTGAATAAGTAACTGGAATCAAATGTAAATCATTTTATAACTCTCCTGAGGCGGCCGGGCAGATCCATCGAAACAATAAACAAGCCTCCAAATGGGCTGGCTGTTCTCGGCACCAGCTTATCAGATAGCCTCTTTGCATGCTCATCTCGCCATTTAATGGCGGATTCCATTGACAGTTTTATGGTGTTCTATCATTTTATATCAATTTTTAATACTTTGTGACCTTGAAATGTGCCAAAAGGCATAAGGCATAAGCAATCCCCAGGGGAATCTTTTATGCAGATTATCACAATGAATCTAATTCATATGTTTGTTAAGGATTTATTAAGGCTTCTTCTACAGTCATAAAATTTAACAAAATTCTACAAGCTAGACATGTTTATTTAAGTGTTAAATAAAAATTACATAACATAAATTATGCAGATCAGGATATCTCATTTGCATGAATGTTATGATTCCAGTTTGATTCATAAAGATCGAATCAGTTCATTCAATTTCCTACAAGAATATACATAGTTTTATATTTGTAAACTAATTAGTTTTTTAATGAATTGTTTTGCAAAGTATGTGCATGGATTGTGAAAAGAGCTCTGACTTTTTGGCCCAGACAGTACAAAAGTCTCCGCCTCAAGAGGATTAAGTGTAAAATTTCTTATATATGGCTAGTGAACTACCTCTTGTGTTCAAAGAAGAACCTACATACAAACAAACCAACAAACAAGGAAAGCTGTTTATAACATTCCAGTAAATTTACTATTAACTCTTCCTTCTAATGCTATTCTTCGGTGTAAAATTTAATTTCTTGTTTTTTTAAATTTATAATTTAAAAAAAGCTTAATTTTCTTGTTTTTAACGCTGTATCTCTCAAATTGTTATTGAAGGTCAATTGGTTGATGAACTGAATAGACGAGGACGACCTTTGCCCTTTGATCAAGTGTTGCGTGTGTTTTATCAGACTTGCAGAGCTGTTCAGCATATGCACAAACAGAAACCACCTGTTGTTCACAGAGACTTGAAGGTAGCACACTTACTGTTCAATGGTTAGGTAGCACAAACAGAAACCACCTGTTGTTCACAGAGACTTGAAGGTAGCACACTACTGTTCAATGGTTAGGTAGCACAAACAGAAACCACCTGTTGTCCACAGACACTTGAAGGTAGCACACTTACTGTTCAATGGTTAGGTAGCATACTTACTGTTCAATGGTTAGGTAGCACACTTACTGTTCAATGGTTAGGTAGCACACTTACTGTTCAATGGTTAGGTAGCACCAACAGAAACCACCTGTTGTTCACAGAGTCTTGAGTGTAGCACACTTACTGTTCAATGGTTAGGTAGCACACTTACTGTTCAATGGTTAGGTAGCACACTTACTGTTCAATGGTTAGGTAGCACACATACTGTTCAATGGGTAGGTAGCACCAAAAGAAACCACCTGTTGTTCGCAGAGTCTTGAGGGTAGCACACTTACTAATCTTTGAGCTCTTTCAAAGATGTTATTTGCTGTAGTTGTATGCTCTTCGCAGTTGTTGTATGCTTTACACTTTAACAATAGAAATATAAAAAGACCTGTTTTTTCCAATTACATCATAATTTTAATTATTAATGGGTCTATTATTAATGGGTCTATGATTAATGTAAGGTATCATTTTGCTTAACAATGTTTCATGTTTCAACTTCCTTGACGGACAGGCTGAAAACTTACTCATTAGCTCCCAGGGCACTATAAAACTCTGTGACTTTGGCAGTGCCACCACTGTGACACATTATCCAGACAGTTCATGGTCAGCTATACAAAGAAGTCTGGTTGAAGATGAGGTGTGTATCAAATTGGCGTTTAAAATATTTTTGTTTTTAATATTTTAAATAAACTGTTTTAATTCCATGCACATTAACCGCTATACATTAACCACTATATTTGTAATCACATGCGTTGCACAGCTCAGACAATTACTATATTATTAATATTATTATTTATATTTTGAAAAGTAATTTCTTAGCATTTCTGTGTAGATCACCAAAAACACCACCCCGATGTACAGAGCTCCGGAAATGTTGGATCTTTACAACAACTTTCCTATCAATGAAGCATGTGATATATGGGTATGTGGCATCATTGTTTTGAAAATAGTGAATTGTTATAGTGAATTGTTTTGAAAATAGTGAATTGTTGTAGTGAATTGTTTTGAAAATAGTGAATTGTTATAGTGAATTGTTTTTAAAATAGTGAATTGTTATAGTGAATTGTTTTGAAAATAGGGATTTGTTATAGTGAATTGTTTTGAAAATAGTTAATTGTTATAATGAATTGTTTTGAAAATAGTGAATTGTCATAGTGAATTGTTTTGAAAATAGTGAATTGTTATAGTGAATTGTTTTGAAAATAGTGAATTGTTATAGTGAATTATTTTGAAAATAGTGAATTGCATGAAAAGTTATGTTGTAAAATCAATGTATAATTTTTCTGTTTCGGGTTGATCCTGAAGTATAGGCCAAAACGTGTCAAAGTGTCCTCGTTTTATAGCCATTTTCATTGTTTCTATAGTATAGTAGTTACTATCCTAGTGTCTCATTTTTATTTTACTTAGTTTACATGTTTTTAATAATTGTAAAGCGCTTAGAGCTTTATGGTAAGCGCTATATAAAAATGCCTAAATAAATAATACAGAATGATATATATTCTATGATAAAAAGGTATTTTTCAATCTACAACTGACTTCTTTCCATCCTGCTTGTTATAGTCAATCAACTTTCTCGTCTATGTCTCTACAAACCAAGTTTCTCTTCATTCTTATATTTTCTTTTTTGTTCCCTGAGGACTAGATTGAAACATTTGGTTTAGTTTTGTATTAGCTTTTTAAGCTTTTTATTTACTTATGTTCACCCTCACTTCCATATGACCAAACAATTCTTTGTATTTCAGGCTCTAGGATGTCTACTCTTTAAGTTGTGTTTTTATGTTCACCCCTTTGAAGACTCGGCCAAACTGCGTATAATCAATGCCAACTATGTTATTCCTGAATCTGATAGAGAATTTGAATTATTTCATGACCTCTTAAGTAAGGTTTTTTTTTTGTTTACAAGGAGTTTTTTTTTTCTTAACATATACTATTAATGTTTAAATGAAAATGCTCTTTTGAAAGTTGCATATTTACTTAAACATAAGTATTATTACTGACCGAACCACTGACAATTTAATGAGCAAATATATTTATTTTAAATTTAGGAGGTATGCTTACTGTAGACCCGGTTGGTCGTCCTGGCATCAATGATATTCTAGAAAGATTACAAGAGATCGCACAAGTTAAAGACATTAATTTGAAAGAGCCGTTGAGATTTCAAGCGATGGCACAACAAATTTCACCAGGTTTGTTGATTGGTACTGGTAAAAAAATATCCGTTTGGGTGCCGGGGGGAATGCATTTTGAGCTCTGAATTGTATGTGCTTCATAGTTATAAAGCGAGTGAAAGATTCTCATCGTAAAGCAAGAAAATTGTACTCTGCAGTTGAATGATAATAACCGACCTCTGTCTTCTAATCTAACAATTCAATATTCCATATTGTGTTCAGAAACTCCAGAAAGAAGACAAGGCTACAGCCAAGCTGCCCCTTCCCATCATGCTGGCAATGATGGAGGCTTTGGTGTTGGTGCAACTGCTGGCTCCTTGTTCAATTCACTCAAAGGAGGTGCTGGTAACATGTTCAAAAACATCAAAGATGCTTCCAGTAAAGTCATGGAGACTGTCACCAAGTAATATACTTTATTACAGTCTCTAAGTACTATACTTTATTACAGTCACCAAGTACTATACTTTAATACAGTCACCAAGAACTATAATTTATTACTACAGTCACCAAGAACTATACTTTATTACCCACCTTCATCTCTTAAACATTTAGTTCTTAATATTTAAATTTTAATGTAAACTTTGTCTCATTTTATGTGATAAGAAGCTGTTGAAGATGATACACTAATTTTAGTTGTCAAATTTAAATCAGAAAACCTGACAAGTTTAATTTGAACACATAGACATTAAGTGAACAAACTGCATCTCCACAGCACTATAAACAAGACAGATTTGGATATATCTTACATCACCTCTAGAATTATCGGTAAGTTTTATTTGGTATGGCTGCACTTAGATGTCCAATGAAGCAAGAATAAAGTATGGTTTGCTTGACCATGTCTGTCAACAAATGGTTTAATGCATTTTGTGACATTACAAATGACTAATTAACAGATCATTACATTGTGCAGTGTTTTAAAATGGATCTATAAATGTAAATAAGTCATCCTTGTATACCAAGAATTTCCGTATGTTTTTTCTCAAAATTTTATTCAACGATCACATGATGTATTTTAATGTCTTCCTGGTTTACAGTGTTAATGTAGTTTTACATTATCCTAGATGATCTGGTCCATACATACTGAAATGTAATAAATATTTCCTTCTAGTTTAAAAAAAGTAATATTTTTAGTCTAACCCAGTGGTTCTCAAGGTTGGCAGGACCACCTCTTTGGGTTAGAGGGAATAGTATAGTAGTGGGCATATGGGATGCCATAAAAAAGAATATTTGAGCATTAGTTTTTAGTTTTGACTCGCATTATAATTCCTCTTCCGTCCTTTCAGTTATGTCTTACCCAGCTGAAGGAATGGAGTCTGCCTTCAAAAACAGTATTGATGATGTCAGAGGATACTTGGAGTCTCGGCATCGAGGTTCTTATGCCGTCTACAACCTCAGTCAGAGGGCATACCGTGTAGCCAAGTTTGAGAATCGAGTATGTCTACATTCAACTAAATTTAATGGATAGTTTTCTCATTAATTCCTTGAAATTATTGCACACTGTTGAATTCATTTTCTTAAGTTTTTCTTACTAAAGTTCTTGTCTATGTTTAAAAATTGGTTAATTCCCTTTTGACTTTGTCTTCAGGTGTCAGAGTGTGGATGGGCGGTCAAGAAAGCTCCACCCTTGACAAACTTGTACGCTATCTGCAAAAATATGCATTTATGGCTACGCCAGAAACCAAAGAATGTCTGTGTTGTTCACTGTTTGGTCAGTAGCACCCATTTGAATATGTCATCAAGTTCTTCCACATTATTAGCGCAACAGTTTGTTTAAAAAGAAGAAGTATGATCTGACTGTTTCTATTGTCTCCTTTTCTTAGGATGGCAAAGCCAGCTCTGCATGCGTCGTTGGAGCGTTCCTGGTGTTTTGCAGACTGTTTGACAACGCCTCAGCAGCCATGCATTTATTCACAGCCCGCAGGTCCCAGCCAGGCATCTGTCCATCACAGAAAAGGTAACGTTCTCTTATTGAACGGGGGACATTTTTGACATTTCAAAATGGAATATATTACTAGCAGCTAGATGACAGAAAGGAATAATGATATATTTTGATGTTATTTATCACCATCAGGTACATGGACTACATTGGTCAGATGGTGTCAGACACACCTGCATTACCTCATTCTCAAGCTGTCATGTTGAAGTCACTCACTCTTAGACCTCTGCCTTTATTCAATAAGATGAAGTAAGTAAGGGTTATTGTTTGACATTCTCTTAGTTATTCACTTAGCACAAAAATACCTTATCACTTAATTTTCCACAAGCCTTCTATTTGATTCTCTAACCATTGACCTCTGCTACAACCTTTTTGAAATGTTGTTTGGCAGAAATGGCTGTACACCATTTGTTGAAGTATATGTTGGGGAAGACAGAGTTGTGTCTGGCTCCCAGGAATATGAGAAAATGAGGTCAGTAAATTTAAGTTAACACCAGTTAAACCCAGCCTGCCCCCCCCCCCCTCCTTTTTTTTTAAAAACTTCAATTTTTGCAGACTGAAATTATTGGCCTTCTCAATAATCTGAATTTATTTTTCTACTTGTATAAATAAATCTAGTTGTTTTGAATATGAGAAAATGAGGTCAGTAAATTTAAGTTAACACCAATTAAACCCAGCCTGCCCCCCCCCCCCCTCCTTTTTTTTTAAAAACTTCAATTTTTGCAGACTGAAATTATTGGCCTTCTCAATAATCTGAATTTATTTTTCTACTTGTATAAATAAATCTAGTTGTTTTAAGCTGTGAATATATGTAAAAATATTTAACATCTGCGTGTACAATTTTAAAATGATAGAATGTTATGAGATTTTAACCCACCAGATCAGCTCATCTGTACCATAACCGGCTGTTCCTGAGTTCATTTATTCCTAATACAAGTAAAATCTTTCAAAGAGAACATTTTTTTCAAAATATTGCCAGACAGTGTGGATAAAGGTTAACTAAGGGGGTGCACTGATTAACGCCACTCTGATTAGATTAGCTAAGGGGGTGCGCTGTTTAAAGCCGTCCTGATAAGGCTAGCTAATGGGTTGTCTTGCTTAAATCCTCCCTGATGTGTCTTGGGCAATAAATATGATAAATCCTTATAATTTTTAAAATGAAAACATCTTGATTGATTGACATTCATCAGTTTACAAAATATCTATGAGCTGTTTACCATCAATGATGTTCGTTTTACAGGCAGTTTACGCTAGAAGATGGCAGAGCAGTTTTACCACTCAATATTTCAGTAACTGGAGATGTTACTGTAATTGTATACCATGCCCGTTCTACATTTGGTGGCAAAATACAGGGCAAGGTTTGTGTATATTTTGCTTTAACGCATCCCAAATATAATAAACTATATCAAAAGTAAACATGATTTTGATGTAACATCTCGGTTTATGACACATACTTTGAACAAAATATTTTTAAAAAATGGCTTTTTCTATGAATAAGTTTGCAATTTTTTTAAAGGCATTTTGCTTGTCTGCATTTCCACAGATTACTTCCATGAAAATATTTCAAGTTCAGTTTCACACCGGTTTTGTTAAAGAAGGGACTACAGAATTACAGTTTAACCAGTGAGTGACTCTTCTATAGAATTAATATATAAATTTTAAAAAATCTGTTGAATCACTGATACACAGTTTTTGGTCTTTTGATCCTGGAAATCCATTGCAAGTTTTGTTTTCTTCCCTCAGGTATGACCTAGATCAGCTGGACACAGCCGACAAATACCCTGACCTGTTCACAGCAATTTTTGACCTTGTAGTGTCACCAGCTGGGAGGAATGCACAGGACAAACAGCCTTGGGACAATTTCCCTGTGGAGAAACTCACACCCAAAATTTTATTCTCTTCTAAGGAGGAAATACACCAGACATTTTCAGAGTTCGGTGAGTCCAGTTTGGTTTGTAAGGTTGATATCTCTTCTCTGTACTTGAGGTTTCTTAGCTCCTTTTATATTAGTTAAATCACAAGTAATATTTTCAGAATTTTAAACAGAGGAAATTAATGGTGAGACACCCTCAAAATTTAGTGTTGTTTGAAGAGACAAACAAGTTGATAAATACAGTATATTATTAATAGAGGGTGGATCATCCATAAAAATGCTGTACAAATTTTATGTTGTCTAACTGGTTGTTTGGCTACAGGTATATCAGACAGAGCCAAGACAAGAATAAGCCGAGCCTCCAGCTTTGACGATTCACCAGCTGAGGCTCCCAGTACTCCCATCAAACAAGTCAGACCTATGAATGACAGAAAACCAGAGTCAGTCAATGGTACCGCGGGAAAAAGTTCTTTCTTCTCTACATTGACGTGGCAGGATGACGGTCATGAAGAGGATGGCCCACCAGCTCAGCCTACAGAGTCTCAGCTGGGTCTGCTCAATAATCAGTCAGATGATGAAGATGATGCTTTTGGGGACTTCTCCAGGCATAGAACAAATGGAGGTGGGGCTGATGTGCCAGCTGGTTACCAAACTATCAGTGATGCACCCAGCAAGAAAGCTGAAAGCGCAAAGAATGTTGACCTATTTAGTGATGAATTCACTGAGGACAGCGGTGAACCTCAAGACGAGGTTGTAGATTTACTCAATATGAATGCTGCTAAATCAAAAACTGAATCTATTGTTGGCAAGATCGACCTACTGAACATTTCCGGAGATCCTTCTAATGTGGATTTATTAAGTGGGCACGGGCCATCTCTGGCCAGCGGCTCCCGTGACCCAGATCTTCTTGGAATGTCAAGTGCAGAAGACACATTTGATCCCTTCCGGGAGTTCACATCGGGTCCGGCACCAATTCCTTCCAAACCTGACCTCATGACGTCCAACAAGCCTGCCGTCAATCAGCCATTTGATCCATTCCAGAACTTATCCGGTGGCCTCCAAGCTCCAAACACATCATCCCAACCAGCTGAGCCCACCACAGAGGATGACTTCTTTGCTTTCATGGAAGATGCCAAGTCAAGTAGTACGAACAAAGAGCCAGATCTAATGACTGGCTGGAATGCCAGCAACATACAGAGTTTAGCTGGTGTGACCAGATCCCCAACTCACAGTCTGACCCCGGGCGTTGGTGGTATGCACAAAAGTGCCAGCACTGGTTCTGCTATGAATTTTAGTAGCCTGATGCAGGAGCACCCTGGACGGAGCTCACCACAACCTAACATGGCCGGACTAGGGATGGGGCCAATACCCAAGCAAGATCCCTTTGCTGATTTAGGTAAATATTTCATGAACAACTTGATTTCTTGACCACATAACTCTTAAATATTTCTGTAATGGGGACCTTATATTTAATTTAGAAAATTGTTTGGTCTAGTGCTAAGTCCATCCATACATTCCTGTGGTGCTATAGCCAGTGTTGGCCTTTGGCCTGCCTCACCACTTCCTTCCACTCAAACCTAACTGGTGCTTTTCTTTTCCATTCTTGGATTCCAAACTGCTGTAGATGTTTTTCCTCATTGTCATTCTGTCTAAGCCCCCCCCCCCCTTTTTCACGCCTGTGTCAAACCCTATCCCTTTTTATTTCTGCTACTAGCGTGGGATCCTGATTTAGTCCATACAATTCGTGGTTGGTTCTTATTCTTTATCCCTATTCACCCGTTGTTGCTCCTTATATTTTCCGAAGAACTTGTGACATTTTACTTTCAAGTATTTTGTGACTACAGAAGTAGTCGATGTTCTTTCCTTTTTCTTTTAGTTATTCATTCTGTCATTTATTAAGGCTCCTAGATATTTGAATTGATTTACCTTTTCAAAAGTGTGGTTTCTAAATTTAATGGTTTCATCTGTCTGTTCTTTTCTTAACATAGTCATGGATTTTAATTTTTTGGTTGTTAACTTCCAGCCCTGGTTGTAGTGATGTGTCTTTAATTCAATAAAAGCTTTTGATATGTCTTTACTACCTTTCCCTAACAGTGGTGCCATCGGCAAATGCAAGATACTGAAGGCGTCCGTTGTAGAGAGTGCCTATTGGTTGAGTTTCACTCAGAAAGTATCATGCTTTGTTCCTCGGGTATCAATAGTATGCTTCTTATAACTCTCTCTAATTTTAAGTTTGATAGCATACCAGAAGTCTCTTTGTCTTAGGCCTCGTCTTATCTGAAATTCCCTTGAATATTTACTCTGAACCTTGATTTTGCTTTTTGAGTTGTTTAATGTTACATTTATCAGTCTTTTCAGTTTGTTGGATATGGCAAACTCCTGCAGAGTCTCATATAGATAATTTTCTTTTGATGCTGTCGTAGGCCATTTTTAAGTCCACTTAGAGTTGGTGCACCGGGATATGATATTCATTACATTTCTCCAATAGTCATCTGATGATGAAAATCTCATCAGTCGTTGATCTGTTTTCCCTGAATCCACATTAGTAATCACCTAGTATTTCTTCAGTGTATAGTTGTAGTCTCTTGGCGATAAGTTTTTTAGGGCACCAGTGAGCTCTACACACCCTTGAGTGACCTCTGCTAATCAAAATCTTGTAACTCAAATTTTAACCCACTTCCTGGTCTCCAACTGAGCTGAAACTTTTTACACTTTGACTAAAGGTACAAAATAAAACAATTTCTGTGTCTTTCTTTCCGGCTACATTGTACATTTGTCTCATATTTCTGGCTTCTTTTTGTATCATAGTCATGTTTGCTTTTATCATTTCTTTGACAGTCTCTCTGCATTCATTATCAAACCAGCCTACTCTACTGTTAGTTTTCTGAAAACTTACTACTTTTTCTGCTGATCTTTTCATAGCATTTGTAACCTGTCCCACTGTTCATGGATGTTGTGTTCTGTTTTTATTTCCTCCTGTGATGCTTCTATTTAACCCTTACAAGTGGGGGGTCAGGGTCTGCAGCTGCTCTTCTATAGCTTTTTACATCTGGTATACAAGATCCAAAATTAGAACAGCGCTTCTCAACCTGTGGTTTGCGACCCCTTTGGGGGTCAAATGACTCTTTCCCAGGGAGGGGTCACCTAAGACCATCGGAAAACACATATATTCTACAGTTACGAAGTATAAACGAAAATAATTTTGTGGTTGGGGGTCGCCACAACATGAGGAACTGTATTAAAGGGTCGCAGCATTAGGAAAGTTGAGAACCACTGGATTAGAACATGGTAAATTTGGTTATGAGTGATTCTGTCTGGTGAGCTCCAAGTAACTTTTTAAATATTTTTATTTGGAAAATTAGTACTGCTGTCATCCCTTTTCCTGAAATAAAGTCTATCAGCCGGATCCCATCGTCATTGGATTCTTCATGTAGATTCTTTGCCAATAGTTGGCATAAACTTTGTCTTTTCCTATTTTGGTATTAAAGTCACCAAATATTATTTTAATATCGTTTCATAAAAAGATTTTTTATCTGACCTTCTGTATCTTCTTCTATATCTTAAGGGCCCACGATCAATTTATTGATCATTTTGGCTCCTATGCATGTAGATGGGATTTGCAATGTTTCTGTTACTGGTGTTGATGAGGAAATTATGCACTAGGGGTTTGAAGGCTTGAGGCAATAGACACAAATGTGTCTAGTGTTGTCGCCTCAACTGTTCCTTTTGAAAGATGGTTCCAGTCCCTGATTGCCTTGGGCAGGAATGAGCAGCTCCTATACTGGCTTCTTGCTGGTATGAGCCTGAATTGCCTGTCATGGCCTCGTCGCTGTCTATGGGGGAGAGGGACACGTTTCTGTTTAATACTGGAACAGTGGACCCGCCCATTATTTATCTTGTACATCATGGAGAGCCTGGATTGTCGTCGTCGTTTCTCCAATGGTGACCAGCCTAGTGTTTCTAGCATGCTGCCAACACTGGAGGTATTCCTGTAGCGGTTTAGGACAAAGCATGCTGCTCGTCGCTGGACCGCCTCCAACCTGTCAATGCTCTGCTGGGTAAATGGTATCTTTGGTGGGAGCATGAACTTTCAAAAAATGTTATGTTGTGAACATTTTCCCTCTCACTGGCATAAGCACAATCTTTCATTATCTGGCTTAAAACCTATGATTGCATTGACGGCTTCTTTCTTCACAGCTTTTCCTGTTCCAAAGTAGTCGGTGTTGTTGCCACTATAGATTTAGTGCTACCGTACTACTCTTTTAAAAGCCTCAAAACTCAAAAAAATGAACTCTTCTAGACTTAAGAATAAATATACAAACTTTATTTTCTTAATTCAGGAAATCTTAGCACCAAGAGTGCATTTAAGGGTTCCAACCCTGGTTTTACCCAGAAACCAACAACAGTTGGAGGAACTCCTGGGATTCCAACAGGTGAGTCATTCTGTTCACAAACTTCTCGAATAGATGAGTAAGTTGAGATGATGAGTAAATGAGTAAACTTTGTCAGAAACACAGCAAGCCAATGTTTAAACTGATTAATGTAATTTATGAATTTAATGTCTGTAACACATTTTTAGGAGGATTTCAAGCAGGGTTTGGCTTGGGTCCGACTAGGCCGGCCCATCCATCACCCATTGGACAACCAGTAAGGCCCCAACAACAGTCACCGCAGCATAGGCCCCAGCAACCAGCCACACCAAGCTTTGCAAAGCCAAATTACTCCAGCAGTGTCATAGGTGATAGAGAAGATAGAGGGACAAGGAAAAGCTTTGGTAAGGAATTTGTTTTTCTAATTAAACACATAAAGCTTCTTGTAACTTTAGCTTTTATTTATGCTTTTATTCTCATCCCTTAAAACCAGCAGACCGTTGGGCCATCACATGAAGTTGTTTCATAATTTCTCGCCCCTTGTCTCTGGTTATTTACCACTGTTGCGGATTGGTAGAAGTAGAAGCTTATGACTATACATTCAGTGATGTCCTCCAAATGTTTCTTCTGTCTACCCCATTTTTCCATTTGCCATCTCAGTGCCTTGTAAGATGATTTTTGAAAGACCTATCGATTAGCATTGTTGATGTGGTTTTGAAAACTTGACAATGTAAGCACAGCTAGTTTAATCCGTCTCTATTCTACAAGATATTAATTTCTCTTTATTAAGGTATTTTGTGGTCAATAAAGTAAATTTCATTTTCTAAGATTGTATTGTGATATATTAAAAATAATTTTGTTGTCCTTTATTCCCCAGGTCCAAAACCTAAGGTTAGTGCAGACACATTCAATGATTTATTGGGTGAGCAATTCTCAAGCCGTAAAGACAACGAACCAAAAACTATTGGAGAAATGAAAAAGAAGCTGATGGTTGAAGAGATGGACCCTGACAAAGTGAAGGTATATTTATTGACAATGAAATGAATCTCTGAAAATGCATGCTTAAATCTTAACTCTATCAAACATTTTCAAAATGGTATTTTAAGAAAATCAAAATACAGATTTAAAAGCAACTAGAATTGTTGATTATTTATTTTTAATTTTCTCAAAATGCATTTAAAATTATTAAGTCTATCTAATAATAGTTGTGGATAATAAATTAATTCAATACCATGCCATCATTCCAATGTGCAATTTTTCTTTTTTCATGCACACCTAGGAAAAAAATCCATTAACATAGTACATTTTAAAATCACAAATAATTTAATTTTGTGAAAAGATGCACGTTGTGTTAAGCTAATGAGACATATTGTTGGGCCTGCAAACTAATCACACAGGGTATTTGATTTTATATTTTTGCAGATATTGGATTGGACAAAAGGTAAAGAGAAGAACATTCGAGCTCTTCTGTGCTCCCTGGGCTCTGTCTTGTGGGATGGTGAGGCTAGGTGGCAACCCATAGGGATGCATCAGCTGGTGACACCTGACCAAGTCAAGAAATTCTATAGGAAAGCTGTTTTGTCTGTTCACCCAGATAAGGTGAAATTTTTTTTAGAAATTGTTTAAAGATGAGTTACTTTTTGAACTAATCAAATAAGATTTTTTAAAGTTTTATTAATTTAAATATAATTATTTCATTTAATAATTTGTTTAAAAATAAAGTTCTTAAAGTTCAACCATACAATAATTAACCCATGACTGTCTTTAGCACCTGCTGTGCCCTCCCAAATTCCAACCACCGCCTGCTTACTAATGCTGCGGGGTGGCCAGTCAGGCCGATAGTCACATATAATGCTCTTTCAGACATCCTAGCAACTCAGCTGCCATGCATTCGTCTGCTAAAATTTACTGCTGCACTCTTGAGTGAAGCTTTTTTATGTTATAAGAGAAATCTGTATGCTTGTATCTTCTTTCGTTAAAAAGTTAGAAGAGTTCAAAGTTTGGCATGGCTTACCTAGCTCATTCGCGATGAGCTACTAAGTTAACTAGACAAGGATAATAATTTTAATAATAAATAAAGGACTGGGTTCAAGTTGTGAAGGAAATAGTATAACAAGGTATGTGGAAGCTTGACATAAAAAGACAGGACAATAAAAAGAGAATGTTTGGTTAATGGTTAAGAGCCTTCTTCAGCAGACAGGGCTAAAAGCTTCCACTTCCTCATACCATGATCTACTATTTACTAGATTAGCAGCAAGCTTAGATGATGAAACAACCAAACAGATCGAGGTAGAATTTATTTAAATTAATGTGGTAAGTAATAATGACAATGTTAGAGTTGAAGATTGATCTGAAAAAAAAAACTATACAAATCAATACCTTTACAGTTCTGTAGATACAGGCTTTGGTGACCATAGGAACAGCACTTGAATTTTTTTTAATGCGGCGATAGTCAACTTCGGATATTATAATTAAAAGGTTATTCTCTAAATAACCTTATTTTTTTTCGTGCATATAACATTTCATTAAATTTTATATTTTATAAAAATTTCAATATCAATGATTTTGCTTGTTTTATATTTTTCTTTTAAAAAGAAATAACATACATTTTAAAACAGAGTTATGTCCCTTTGCTTAGGCAGGCCGGCAAGTTTTCGTTTATGTACTTTAAGCAGGAGTCGATTAAGATGTATGTCATTTACAGTATCGTGAAGAAAAAAGGAGTAAATTAATTTTTTATGAAACGGCTACTTGTAATTGGTATTTTTAAAGTTATTTAATAAAATTTGAATGCAAAGTAAATGTCCCTCTTATTTTGCCACTTCCTATTTTCCCTTAACTAAAACTACCAGTGTTTTGTTTTTAAAAATTTAAGTCTTAAGCAAAATGTTTCAAATTTCAGTTAACGGATGATCCCAATCAACCCCTTGCCAAGCTTATCTTTATGGAGCTCAACGATGCCTGGGCCAAATTTGAAGAGGAAGGCTGCAAAGCTCTGTACTAGTGACCAATTTTCATTCTTGTACATATGCAAACATGTATGCAAAATCTTTTCACGTGATGAATATTGACCCAGCAGTAAGAGAGCTAGTTATTTGTTTAGAGTAGTTGGATACAAGTGGTTAGAGGTCCATATCAAATTATTATTTTTTTAAAATGAAAACAGAAGACTGAATTTTCAACATGCTGAGGTTTGAATATGCTGCTAGTTGACTTGTTACATTGTTAGTCACTTGTTAGTGAACCTTAGATTAGGAATGCTTAATTTAAGGGTTATCGCTCCCAATATTGATGGAGAAATGCACAAAGTTGAGATGGATACATTGTCATAACTGTATTAGTGTCATTGAATGTTCCTACTTTTGCCAGACTATTCAAATGGAAACTCATTAGTGAGACATGTGCCACTTTTATTGAGACTGGGAATAGTAATGGGATTCATAAAGTCCAAATAAAGAATTTTCTTAAAGGCTTTGTCACAGTATCAAATGAATTGCATGTCTGTGAATATTTTTGACAAGCAGGTAAATTGGATCAAAGCTGCGTTCTATATATTCCAGAAATTGTTTATTTTTATCTGGCTATACTAAGTGTTGTGAAACTTGCCTAGCAAGCAAAGTTGAACTTTGCTGTCCATGGAATAGCTCTCTCTACTGACTTACTTTATTGTGCACTGTTAATGTTGTCTCCCAGTAGGATTTCTTATCTGCTCATACGGCTGATCAGTTTTTCAGCCTCAAAAGTTTCACTCGTAACTTAGCATTTATTCATGTTGGTTTTGTTCAATTAGTGCGTAGATGTGCGGACATGTACACACTGTGATAGCATGTTAATTAAATAGATTATGCTCTGTGAGTGTAGGCGTGAGTAAAATAGATAACGTGACTAAATTATTTGAATTGACTATTATTGTCATCTATCTATCAAGTGGTGGACCAGAATTGTGTTTTATTTGTATATAATATAATGAAATTGGTGAGTGACTGCTTATGTAGTGGACAGATAATTGTACTTAAAAAATTATTTTATTTTTATGTGTATCATAAAGCATGTGTTGCTTCCTTTCAATTGTTTTATTTTCTCCCCAATGTCTTAATAAGCCAGTACTCTTTATCCCTTTTAATATATTCCACATATTATAATTTTACTTTGTAATTTGCTTCTTTTTTACATTCCAAAATTGGAATTTTTTTTTACAACCTTGTCTGCAGATTTAGCATCCTATTTGTTCAACTGACTTGGGGTGATTTTTAAAAATATTTCTTTTTAGTGCAGCACACTACTTACATATTCCTTGCAAGTGCTGATGTCAATTTGCTGCTGTGTTCCACTTACCTGAAATATTCACCTCTTTATTTATTTGGGCACAATCTTTCTTCCCTGTGCTCTTAGCAAATTTAAATTACTTCATTTTTGTGTTCATGCTGCTTTTGTTTTCTATTGTTATTCCACATCTAGAATACATGAATTGGTCACCTTAGAATCGGTGGTATGGATCTGGTTAACAAGCAACTTGATTTTCAAGCATTTCGTGGATTTATTTTATTATTTAGTCAATTAAAAAGCAAAAGGGATTAAAAGTATTTGAGTTTTTAGGCCGATACTGTCTTTCATGTTGAGTTTAAAGATACAAGTAGTCTTTTTATGTGTGATAAAAACATAAATTACTTACTCACAAATTTTTCTAACAATTTAAGGCAAATATTTTGCAATTCTAACAATCCTGTGCAAGATCATTAGTGGAAATAATGAATCTTGTAGCCATTAGGTTACATGTTTGTCCAAAGCCTGTCAACCTTTCTACTTTATAAACAATGTTCCTGCATTTTCTACATTAAATTGTTTGTAAAATTTGTCATTACATCTGCCTGGCTAATCAATCCATAATTCCCTACTCAGGGCCGGATTTCCCATAGGGTTAACCTAGGCCATAGCTCACCATTTTGTACACATTTTTCAGTGGAGATTTGAATTCAAAATATAACATGTTTCAAAGATTATAAAGATTGTATTCAGCAACCATGTTTCAAAAATAAACTTATATTAAATTGGAAGTTATGAATCAAGTTTTTGAGAGGCGTAGAGTTATGTGCCTTGGCCTAGGGTGCAGAAATGTGTAAATCCCGCCCTGCCCCTACTAATTTCAATCACACTCCAATTTAATCTTTTTTTTTTGTTCTCATCACATGGAACTCAAAAGATTATTACTTAACAAAATGTTGATTACAATGAACTTTTACATTCTCATTCCATCACATGGACAGAGCTCACTTATTCATATTTTACACAATTACAGAAAGCTACAGTTTGGTCTATATATTAGGAAGAAAAATGTCTATAGAAATATACAAAATGTTTTGAAGTTTACTTTAAGAAGCTTCTTGTTATCAAGTAAATTGATTCAAATTTAATGTTACTGTAGCACTAAATTTTTTAAATTAATTTTTGGTGCCCCCCCCCCCCACACACACACACCTGACACCAATACAAAATTTTAGTGTAAAAAAATAAATTATACTGTTACAATTTAGCAAAAAATAAATATTTAATTTGAAAATTTTCATTTTTCAAAATAATAATTTTTTTTTCTTTTAGTTTGGTCATTCAAATTTCTTTGAATATTCATAGTATGGTAAGCTTCAAATAGTTGTATTATTACTTGTAATTAATAGATATTTAAACTTAAGATACATATAATATTACTGGGGTTTCTTTTGTTCAAGCTGTACATGATACTTAATGATATTAAAATTAACAAAATAATTTACTCACAAGTGCAAAAAGATTTTGTTTTTAGTCATAATTTATTTCTTTGTATGACATAATTAGGCTTAATGGTGAAAGTTATAACTAGCATGGAATTTAGTAAACGTCTCATTAAATAAAATTTAGCTTTTCACTGATGTTTATATTTGTAAAAATTGTGTAATCTTGTTTTTGGGTAGTTGAAAAACTGTTAACATTTCCTTGTACAAACATATTGCGTTTATTATGTGCAATACATTCTGTGGGAATTACTGTTATTGTTTGTATATAAATAGCTCATTATAGCTTACACCTGCTGAGTTGTTTTGTTTTCTATTAACTTGGGATTATATTAGCAAATACAAAGAATAGAAAAAAAAGTTTTAACAATAGAACGAATTTGTTAAATGAACAATTGTTTAGTTATTCACATATCACAGTCTGTCTTGTGTACTGACTGTAAGACTGTTCAGAAGATCTCGAAGTTTGGTGGGTTGGAGGTGAAACAATGTGAACAACTCCTTTTCTTTACGGAGAAAACTGTTTTTCAGTTTCTGCAAAATAATCATTTTTAATCATGAAAAATCGAAAGAGTTTAAATGGTTAATAATTGTTTTTGTTAAGGTTCATTAGGGTTTTTACTATAAAATCAAATCACAATGAAGAATAATTTTCACCAAAACTTGTCAGAAATGTTAATACAAAATTACATTTAACTGAAAAATTTACCATTTTTTTAGTTTCAATATCCTTAATGATTTCCGTTATGTCAGTCTGTAGGCCAGCACACTTGCTTGTTAGTGTGGCCATAGCTGTTTGGACCTGGGGTGGTGATAGATTGGGTTGCCCACCAGAAGTAGTTGATCCTGCATACAGAGTTGCTTCACACTTTTTTAGAGACTGTTCTCTGAGGAATCAATCGGTAATATTTGTCTATGAAGTCATCTTGGTTACTTCTTTTAAACAGTTCAGTTATAACCTTTTGAACCCTTAAGAACCTAAAATACCTATGCCACTGAACTGCTGGGGAATATTTCCACATGCCACTGGGGAATATTTCCACAGATACACAAGCAAACTAAATTCCATGATCATAAAATGATTTTAAATGTGTCTGTTAACAGTCCATTATATGGCATCCTTCCGTCTTGTTAATAGTCCATTATATGGCATCCTTCCATCTTCTTAATAGTCCATTATATGGCATCCTTCCGTCTTGTTAATAGTCCATTATATGGCATCCTTCCGTCTTGTTAATAGTCTATTATATGACATCCTTCCGTCTTGTTAATAGTCAATTTTATGGCATCCTTCCGTCTTGTTAATAGTCCATTATATGGCATCCTTCGGTCTTCGCGAGACGATGGAGTAGCTTATGTAGGCCTACACTCTGACGAGTGGCTCACTAGGCCAATCCTAGAATGACTATCTCGACTGCATTGCTCGCTGGAGAATATTGATTTCTGTTAGATCTGGCCTTCCGTATTGTTCTTTTAGTTGCAAGGCCTTCGTTTCATGCAACTTCTGTCCATTACTATTATAAAAATGTATCCGGGAGAAAATTGTCTTTAGAGTCTGTGTAGAATAGCATAGTAGACGGTTCATGGAGAAAATTGTCTTTAGAGTCTGTGTAGAATAGCATAGTAGACGGTTCATGGAGAAAATTGTCTTTAGAGTCTGTGTAGAATAGCATAGTAGACGGTTCATGGAGAAAATTGTCTTTAGAGTCTGTGTAGAATAGCATAGTAGACGGTTCATGGAGAAAATTGTCTTTAGAGTCTGTGTAGAATAGCATAGTAGACGGTTCATGGAGAAAATTGTCTTTAGAGTCTGTGTAGAATAGCATAGTAGACGGTTCATGGAGAAAATTGTCTTTAGAGTCTGTGTAGAATAGCATAGTAGACGGTTCATGGAGAAAATTGTCTTTAGAGTCTGTGTAGAATGGCATAGTAGACGGTTCATGGAGAAAATTGTCTTTAGAGTCTGTGTAGAATAGCATAGTAGACGGTTCATGGAGAAAATTGTCTTTAGAGTCTGTGTAGAATAGCATAGTAGACGGTTCATGGAGAAAATTGTCTTTAGAGTCTGTGTAGAATGGCATAGTAGACGGTTCATGGAGAAAATTGTCTTTAGAGTCTGTGTAGAATAGCATAGTAGACGGTTAATTTCATAAAAACCAGGGATAGACCTTGTTTCATTATATGCAAAGGATACATTCCATCGGCACGAGTTGAAGTCAATAGATTATCTCTGGTATTGTCTAGTATCACTATCATTGTCTATATCACTAGTGTCACTATCATTGTCTATATCACTATCATGGTCTAGTGTCACTATCATTGTCTATATCACTATTTTCTAGTGTCACTATCATTGTCTATATCACTATTTTCTAGTGTCACTATCAGTGTCTATATCGCTATCTTTATTATAATCCTTTTTTAAAACAAGTTAATTATCCCTTGAATCATTTACATTATTATCAACATGCTCTGGTTTCAGTCTGTTAGAATAGTCATTTTTGTCACCTCCATGTCAAAAACATTACAAATTCAATGCATCAATGGGCGCGGGCATTTCTGTGACATTTAGTATCCTGACCTTAGTATTTACAACACAAAATAGGAATTGTCAAGGGAGACCGAAATATTGGTCGGGCAGAGTATGGATTTTTAAACACAGACCAATAAAGCGAGTTCAAGGGGTTCAGATGTGTACAACTTATTTTCACCTAGTTTAAAAAAAAAAGTCCTTAATGAATAATTCAACCAAACAAAGTTATGCAGCGCACTTGGTACCTTGTCATTTTGACATTTTTTTAATCAATTTAAGTCGCTGAAAGTTCTCTGATAATAGTATAATTGTAATAGTATAATTGTATCACCATAGAAAAGGTTATATTTAAAAAAAGCTTCCTTGATACATACATTTTCACAATTGCATACAGAACTATTTTTAACTTTAAGCTCAACATTACACAAATTTTAACCAGGCTGACTACTATCATGTTTTATTTTAAAGTATAAAGCAAGTGCAGCTATTAAGTAATACAGCAACCAAATTTCTTTTCTCCATAGTTTGATGTTTATGAGCTTGTCATACAGATAATATTTTTATCACAAAGGGTAGATAATTTGGTTAAGGACGTGCTTGTCGTACTTACAACTCACTGACTTTATTCAAATATTTCTCATCCATCGTGTGATCCAAAGCCTCTGCTCTTATGTAGTTGTCGTGGAAATCTTTAGCCTTAGCTACGAGTTTTTCTTTAGGAAGGTACATCATTTTCTCATCTTTCTCTGAATTTCCTGTCATTTAATTTTGAAAAGAAAAAGCAAAATTTGAAACAAATGTTCCAGGTGAAAAAGTAATATAGATAAAGTATAATGAGCAATAATAGAAAAAGTAATATCGATAAAGTATAATGAGCTATGAGCTAAAAGATCAATTTAAACAAAATCATTTCAGTTTGTACTTCTCTTGTATCGCTGTCTAAAATACGGAACACCCTTGTTATTTGTTATCATTGACAAATAAGAAAAGAGTCTCAAACCAAGTAGGCTGTAAAGTTTTGAAGAGGATGTGTCCCTTGTATCCACTACACTACGTTCAAACTTTGATGCACTGAGATCTGGATCTTCAAGGCCTTGCTGAAAACAAAATGACCAGTGCTAATGAGGAAAACGGTAAATAACACTTTGCAAGCTTGCAGACAAATATGAAACATTCCAAAATGAACTTTATTAAACGGCAACACCATTTGAATTAAAAGCGCCTTACTTCATTTGTTCTTTTTGATTTAAAAAAAAACAAACTATTGAAGAATTTGCACACGCTTAAAAAACAACAACATACCTTTCGCTGCTGCCATTCCTGCAAATGTTTTTCAAGCATTTGTTTAACTGAGGTTAATAATGCATGAGTTTCTCTATGACATCGAGTCTCTAGGTCATACATCATGGTCAGGAATTCATTTCTTGCCCTCTGGCTCAATAGTTGTTCAATCACCTATTTAAAAAAAACAGTCCACAACTCTGAACAATGATATTGATGATCAAATTAAAGGGAAGTTAGTTGAGTTTTTAAAGCAATCCTAAAATGATAGGCTTTAATAACTAATTAACAATTGAATACTTACACAATTAAGTTCAGTTTTTATTTATATGTATTATACAATTTATTTTAAATATTACTAAGAAGACTCCTTTCCTTATCATTGACATAATTTTTGAACTTAAACAAGTTTCTCATTTACAAAGTATAGCTTTTACTTTTAGTACCGGGTAGTTTTAGGGTTATGTGCAAGGTTAATATAAGATTACGATTTATTCCCTTTTAAAACCGTTATATTAACTTCACTTTTGTTTGTGTGTTTCTGTCAAAATCTTCAAAGGCTTAATGACCCACTTCCTGTCATCCTATCCAGCTGAAACTTGGCACATAGACTCGTTGCTGATAACAAAACATTCTTTTAAATTTTCAGCCCCCTCCTTCAAAAATCATTACATCCTGTTTTTTCAGGATGTTAATGCTTAGCTTTGTTAAATGGGTGCGTTTTTTTGTGTGGAGATAAATTGTGCAGCTGTTGATATGTGCTTTGTATTTGGGACGCATTTGGGTATAAATATCTTTAGTCTAATAGTACATCAATAATAATTTAACCTGTAAAGTTTTGTCAAGTGCTGTCACTCAATAAAACAATCTGGAACAAGAATGAAAAAACAGCTACCTGCGGACAAAAATATGACTAAAGCAGACTAAAGAGGTTTATTTCACTGGTTGTAAGGGCTACACAGTGAGGGTATCAGGAACTGGGGGTTGGAAGGCCTGAGGCAATAGACGCAAATGTGTCAACGGTTTTCACCTCAACTGTTGCTTTTGGAAGCTTGTTCCAGTACCTGATTGTCTTTGGCAGGAATGAGCAGTTCTTGTACCTTGAGTTCTTGTACCGTGAGTTCTTGTACCGTGATCTTGCTGGTATGAGTTTTATACTTCCAACACTAACCTCCTTAAAAAAAGCCCGCAGTACCTTTGTACGCCATCTGAAGTTAGAACATGCTTACCTTTTCTTGTTTCCTGGTAAAGTAGTCCTGACGTTTTAACTTTAAACTATAATCCCCGGTGAGAATCTCGGTTCCTTGTAAACCTCCTAATTCGCGCAGCAAATCAGGTAACGATGATGCTAAGGGGGAAGCCACCTCTTTGGCTGCTTCAATGCTTTCTTCTGCAGAATGGTGCAGTCGACTGGTCAAGACAAAGATAATTCAATATGACACATCTTAAATCAAAACACAGAATCTACTCCGCTGTCAAGCAGTACTAAACCAACAGATTTATGATGCATTATATTCTACTTAAAATTTAGTTGCTTCTAAGCTAATTGTGTCATATTTCTTAAACATTTCTTCACACCATCTTTACTTTGTGCTTCTCACAATTATATTAATGCTAATGGATGTGAACTCTAGTTCATCACCATGCCAACAACATGGTTCGTATTTGCCATCAAAGGAGGAGGGTGTTTTAAATACCTGATTTCTGAAGGCGATGTAGGAAACTGGCCAGACTTCAGCTGATGAAGGATAGATCTGGCTTCATGAACAGCGCTCAGTGCTTTTTTAGCACTTAGCAAAGCATTGATGTGATCACATTCACTCTTTGGAAAACTATTCAGATCAAAAAGAGCAATTAAAAGTGTCACTGACATAAATTATATTTGTGCCAACTTAGTATTATATCTACTGGATTTATTACACTGCAGCATTTTGTTAGAAGATTAATGTTTACAAACTCTATATAAATCATCAATCAAAATAAAGAATGATTTTAATGAAATATTTTTAATGTATAGAAGATGCAAATAAATGAAACTTTGACTTGTAAGATGTAAGTCGTTATATATATAAAGTGCTAGTAAAAATAACTACATTCTCTGAAGTCGACTGAATTCTTGGCAGTCTTCAATGAAGGAGACTTGATCTTTATCACCGACTTGTGTGTGTACAGCCGACGTGACATCTAACAAGTCATACTGCAGTTTTTCCTTATCCCCTGACAGCTCGGCCATACCCTAGATATTTTACATAAAGAAAGTAAATGATTAAAAGAAAACGATAAGTTTCAAAGTGAAAATAACAAAGTTCTAGTATAAACTCTTCAGCATGATTATACTGTTTCACATATAGCATATACGTTTCCTATCCTTATTGTAGTAATGCGAAATAATTTGTCATAATTGGTGAGATGTGGGTAATTAATTATGAAGGATGTTGCGAAATGTTTGTAAAAGATGTGTTCCTGAAATTATGTAAGGGTGAAGGAAACTCATTTTGTGCCTGGATCCCAAGATCCCGGTGGTCCCAAGATCCTGGTGGTCCCAAGATCCCGGTGGTCCCAAGATCCCGGTGGTCCCAAGATCCCGGTGGTCCCAAGATCCCGGTGGTCCCAAGATCCCGGTGGTCCCAAGATCCCGGTGGTCCGAGGAAGGTGTTTGAGATGTGGAAAAGTTTCATTCGATGGCATCCGTGTTTTTTATGTTCCATGAGGAATTCACTACAGCGTTGCCACTGAACGCCCATTCAGACATGTGCCTGCTCTTACAATAGGGATATGACCCTGTATGTTGATTTTCCCAGACTGCTCTCAAAGGATTTTATGTTGCTAACTTGACATACGTGAGAGCATATTGATTGATTTTCAGTACCTCAAATGTCACAAGATTGTACATTTTGGTTATCACTCAATCACTTATAATCAGGGATTTGGAGCAGGCTCTGCTCCAGACAAGTTTTTGTTAGCTCCTGCTAAGCTCCAATGGATCTGCAGATAATCAGTATTAAGTATAAATGGCCCTTTTGAAGATATATTGATAATTTTTGTCCCATATAGTCCACAGACTTAAATCATAACAAGATGAATGAACAGCTAAATGGCTGACATTAAAATAGATTGTATTCAAAGGATCAAGATTGTTATTTTTTATATGGGAAAGGGGGGAGGGGCGGTTGAAGTTTTTTTGGTGTTAAAGAAATGAAATGTGTTTCTTATTGTCAATTAGGGATATTAGGCATTAGAATTAGAAGTGAATTTACCAGCAATATAGCTAGCTGGTAGAAGAGTGGGATAACATAGCTGGTAGAAGAGTGGGACAATGTAGATGGTCAAAGAGTGGAAAAATGTAGCCGGTAGAAGAGTGGGTCAACATAGCTGGTATCAATTTTAATAAATTAATTTTTAAAATAATAAAATGTGTAATTTATAATTTTTTTGTAATTTAATTTAATAAAATGTTTCCGAGCTTCAGCCCCTGCTCTAGAGCTCAGAGCAGTAAGAAAGTTTACCATCTTCAGCTACAGGCAAAAAGACCCAGAGCTCTGAGCTCCAGCTCAGCTTCAACGCTGGGCAAAAAGGCCCTGCCCCAGAGTTCTGAGCTCCAGCTCCGCTCCAAATCCCTGTCTATAATGACACTTGCTCAAGTTCAACATTTAAAAAACTGGCTATTGCCAAACTAATCATCAAAATCTGACCGAATGCCAGTCAAGTTATTGGTTCTAAATTGTGTTTACAGTCAGCTGAAGGATATTTTAATAATTTTTTAGTTCTACACCATGTACATTCTAAAGAGTTTGGCATTACGGTAGATCATTTATGGCTCACCTCAAAAAACTGTTTCTTAGTGAAAGCTGTGAGATCATGAGAGAATCTTTCCTCTGCTTCGTGGAATGCATTCAAATCTATCTGGGAAAGAAAGACCGGATGCCCCTCTACACTGTCACCAGCCCCACTTTTGGCAGTGGATCCTTTATAAAGATGAACAAGTGACTCCACACTTTCAAGCAACTTTTCCAGAGCTTGGTCGACCTAAAGAAAGTTTTAAAAAGGACAGAGACAAAGTTAATGTTTCATTATATGGTGGTTCCTCGGGTTACGATCTTAACTTGTTCCAGAACTTGGTTCGTGACCGGAAATGTTCGTAAACCAAAAGAATGAACTAATGAAATAGAAATAATCCGTTTCAAGATGAATGGTTCCTTTTTATTAACAACCGGTTGTTGACCAGACAAAACGCCAAGAATATCTGCACTTCTCATAGTCAATAAAGACAAAGAAAACAACCAAATAAATTAGACGTAAAATTACATTTTAGTCTTATTAGAAAGTCTTTCTACAACCAGTTAGTGTTATTAGAAAGTCTTTCTACATCCAGTTAGTCTTATTAGAAAGTCTTTCTACATCCAGTTAGTGTTATTAGAAAGTCTTTCTACATCCAGTTAGTGTTATTAGAAAGTCTTTCTACATCCCGTTAGTGTTATTAGAAAGTCTTTCTAGTGCCGCTGCTAAGAAATTTTTTACTGCTATGTAGTAAGGCCAATGAAATTATTATTAATTATTTTTTCATAGAAATATTTGTTAAGAATGAAACTTTTTTTTAGAAATAAAACAAAGCTCAAGGTAACATGGTCAGACTGCTGACACTTGCCTTCTTTAATTCAAAAAAGTTACACTATTTAGTTACCCCTTCAATTTCATTTCCTTTCTGCCTTTTACCCACGCCGTCCATAATAGTTTTCCATTCATCTTGGTTCTGTGCTTTCCTTTCCAGTTGCCTCCAGGTGTTTCCCATACTTTGCGTGTCTGCCTCTAGCCCATATCTCCAGGTGTATCCCATACTTTGTGTGTCTGCCTCTAGCTCATGTCTCCATGTATCCTTTGGGCTTCCTCTCTTCCTTTTTCCCTGTGGATTCCATGTTAAGGATTATCTAATGATATTATCTGGGGGTTTGCGGAGATTGTGTCTTATCCACTTCCATCTTTTCCTTATGATGTCTTCAGCAATAGGCTCCTGCTATGTCCTTTCTAGTAAGTCTTTGTTGGTGGTGGTGTTCGGCCATTTGATGTTCTTGATCTTTCAAAGCCAAGTGTTTGTGAAGGTCTTTACTTTCTGCATGACGCTCGATGCCGTTTTCCAAGTTTTGGCTCCACAGAGTAGAACTGCTTTGACATTTGTGTTGAAAATTCTGGCTTTGGTTTGTAGACTCAGATCCTTTGATTCCCATATTATCTTTAAGAACACACAAATGATGACCTAGTCTTTCCAATCTATCCCTGACATCAGCTTTGGACCCACCAATGATGTCAATGGCGCTGCCTCAGTATGTGAAATATGTGCCTAAGGCCTCCACTTCTTCCAGTGCATTTCTTGCATGAGAGATATGCTCTTGGTTGGCTTGGTTTACTTCACGACCTTTGTCTAGCTTTTATTTATGTTGAATCCGAACTGTGCTGAAATGGTGGCTACATCTCTCGTCTTTTCCTGCATTTGTTGTTGGCTGTGGAACAGAAGTGCAATGTCATCGTTGGTTGTGGAACAGAAGTGCAATGTCGCCGTTGGTTGTGGAACAGAAATGCAATGTCATATGCAAAGTCAAGGTCATTCTGTTGTTCCAAGGGTGTCCACAGTATCTCATTCCTCTTTTTGTCTGTGGATTCATTCATTATCTAGTCAATGGCAAGGATGAATAGGAAAGGGGACTACAGACACCCTTGTTTGACTCCTGTTTCCAGTTTAAAGGCATTTGTAAGTCTACCTTCGTGTACCACCCTGCATGACATCTCTTCATAAGAACTCTAATTGATCCTGACCAATTTTTTCTGGTACCCCATAATGCCGGGAAGCTTCCAAAAGGTTTGTCGGTTCAGGTTAACAAAGACCTTTTCATAGTCAATGAATTTTAGGAATAGGGGAATGTTCCATTCAATGAACTCTTCTACAATGATTTGTGGTGTTACAATTTGATCTGTTTCGGTGGAAGCCAGCCGCTTGATCTCATCGCTGCAGGTTACATGGTCCTTCATTCTATTAACAAAAATTATGTTAAATACCTTTCCTGGTACAGACGGCAGAGTAATTCCACTATAGTTTGCACAGTTGCTAAGATTCCCTGTCTTTGGTATCGTGATAAGGTGTCCTAATTTCTTTCCAATCTTTTGGAACTCTCACTTCTTCCCATTTCGTTTCCAACAGAGGGTGAGGCATGTTGACTCTTGTGTCTATATCTGCTCTCATCATCTCTGCTGTGATGTTACCCTGTTCAGATGCTTTCCCAATCTTAAGCTGCTGTTCTTCCTGATTAGGGGGACTGTCTTCTATTTGTAAATCGTCATGTTTGTTGCATATATGGTGTGTCTGTGGGTGAAGGTCTGTTTAGTCATTCCTCAAAGTATTCCACCAATCTGTTGGTTTTTTTGGTTTGGTTCTTTTCTTGATATATCTTTCTGGGTCCTTGTATCTTCCTGAGAGCTTTGCTATATCACAGAGCTCTTTTATGTTTTCCTTTCTTGTCGCTTGTTCTGCTGTTGATGCTACACCATCTATGTAACCTCTTTTATCCTTTTTTAATACTCATCTTTCCCATTTCCCCTACCATTGGTTTCTTTATATTTCTCCTGTGGTTTTGTTTTCTCTGCCCTAGTGAAACTTTTGTTTACTGCAGACTTCATTTCTTTCCTCTCATTTATTTTTGGCAAAAGGTTGAGTGAGAGCCAATCTCTTGGTTTGTGCTTCACCAGTCCTAATGCTTCACCAGTCCTAATGCTTCACCGGTCTTAATGCTTCATCGGTCTTAATGCTTCACCGGTCTTAATGCTTCACCGGTCCTAATGCTTCACCGGTCTTAATGCTTCACCGGTCTTAATGCTTCACCGGTCTTAATGCTTCACCGGTCCTAATGCTTCACCGGTCTTAATGCTTCACCGGTCTTAATGCTTTATCGGTCTTAATGCTTCACAGGTCCTAAAATCCTTTTGCACATGGATGTTATGGACGTTTTTATTTTTTGCCACTGAAGTTCTATCTGGTCATGATCTGCTTGGTCTTGCAGTACCTGGAGCTTATGTCTCAAGGTAACACTGAATTCCTGTTGTTTTTGCTCATTTACAAGAAGTGCTGTGTTGTGTTTGAGTCACCCAGCAGCTGGGTTTTCACTGTTTTCCTTTAGTGCCTTGAGTCTTGCCCAAACTAAATAGTGAATAGATGGAACATCAGCTCCTCTATTAGCTCACATGTGTTGTAGAGGCCTGAATTAATATATCTCGTAGAAACCCGAATTTTTTGAAAATGCACATGCGGTCAATTTGATTTTCTGAGTATACAAATGTTGGTCCCAAGGCCAATGTTAACTGTCCAGCTTGTGTCTATCTTGTTTCACAAATGCAGAGCAGGGTGGGTTTGTATGTTCTAATTTCTGCCGTAAATTGCGCTGATTTTACGGCCTCATACATGGCTCTAAATTCCATGAGCCTATACTTAATGCCTCTGAGAGGAGGGTCCTCGGCTTTGAGGCTTCCAGTATAACCTGGCTTCGGCAGCAAGGCTTCATAACTCTTCTTGGTGAAGAAGATCCCTCTCTTATCAGGGCTGAAATTGTTGGCTTGTTTTCTTCTTGTTGATATTTCTGTAGCAGTTTGTTTTTCGCAGGTGAGGTAGTTGAACTCACACAAACCGTTCTCCTTTTGCAACCCGGTTTAGCACTGGCCATGAGCTAAAAAATTGTGATTTTTTTTCTCCCGAAAGTTGCAAATTAATTTTTTTTTTAAATAATGTAAATGTTTGTGTAAGGTTAACACTGCAAGTGATCAACACACAGATAAGAATAATAAATACCTTTGTATCATGAGAACTGATATTTTCTGTCATTTTTTTGCATGTTTTACATTGCTCCTCAACTTCTTCCATCTGGGTTACTTTATTGCACAAAGTCAAGTGTTGAACTCTATAAAATACAAAAATATAATTCAAACTACTTTATAAATAATTCAATGTCTATCATGCAATGCTGTGAAGAAGTTCAAATAATTTTACATGTGAGCTCTCATTAAAAAAAATACACGTTTTGTATTGCAATAATGCGGAAAATTAGACTTAATTTGTTAAGCTTCCATAAGAAAGCTGAAGTTTAAAAATTATAAATCCCCCAAAATGGGTTTTCTTTGACCTGGTGTTGCTCAAATATCAACAAGTAAAACTGTATCCAATAGTTAAGGAATGAATCGGTAAGAAAGATCACTAAGTAAATGAGGGGGGAGAATAAGGTTAAAACCTTGGCCTATCTGAAAACAATGCTTATATTACTGACCATCCCAAAAATTCATTAATTCATTCATGATGGTTGAAAAACAAAATATTAAAAGACTACTTCTTTTGACATATTATATACACATATTTTTTATTTTTTTTTAAAGTTCAAATTCTTACTTGAGTTTATCAGAGCGATATTTCATTGTTTCCTTCAGAATTTTAGTTTGTTTCAGAGACTCTTCCAATTGGTGAATATCATCCCTGGATCACAAAGAAAATAAATGGAACATAAGATTTTTAGCAAATTATAAATAAATTTAAGACGCTCACTTTGACTGGATAACAGAAACTAAATCTCAAAATTACTTTTCACGAAAATTGAATTTCAAGAAATGATGATGAGGTGTGAACTCACCCTCCATTTGATAATGGTGCGTTATTCCAGGTCATAACTTTTAGTGCCTCCTCCAGGTGAGAGCCACTTAAAGTACCACCTGAATCCTGCAACTGCTGGTATCTGAAATAAATTATACAAATTATAGGGCCTATATCATCAATTCAATGTTCATCCTTAATTGTAATAACTATGCTTAATGATAATGGCTTACATTTTCAAGACACTGAGGACAAAAATACTTTCAATGTATAAATTGCATACTTCCAAGTTTTTACCTTCACAGCTACATTTACTAAGGATAATACTGTGTATCATTTTTTTTCTAATGAAGCAACATTATGATGGGTTTAAGTTTGTCAGTTCTCTAAACATGTAGGTCTAATTATACACTAATTGCTCCCACAACTCAATAAGTTTCAGTGGTTTTACCTTTACACCAACACTAAAAGCCTATATTTTATATTTAAATTTTTCAACTGCTTGGTCTGGTTTAAAGAAAAAAAGAATGAGACTTATTCAAACTCACTTAGTTGGCTTAGGCCTTGGGGGGAAAAAGTTTGTTTTTGTAGAAATAAATGCTTTATATGTGTAAATGTAAACTAAGACTAGTCTAGATATTTACCTAATATCATATAGTTATGCCTAGGTAACTAAGTTAGTGTCATGTAAGTAACAAGGAGGTGGGCCAGGTGGTCTTGCTGTTTCAGTGTTTGTTGAATTAAGTTAGTAGACTAGAGACTCTGAGACCACTAGAGAGTATTATTAAGAGTAGGAGTCACAACTAGCAGTTCAAATGATGAAATAAGCAATTTAACAAAAGCATATTAATATTAGGAAGATTAATGAAACACAAACAATTTGTGCAAATAAAATTAAAACAATATAAAGGTCAATTTCTGCAATCCACGCCATGATGTATGTGTGTGTAGGATTCTCTCGCTTTTCTTCTTCTTCTTCTATATCTTAAGGGCCCACGATCAATTTATTGATCATTTAGGCTCCTATGCATGTAGATGGGATTTGCAATGTTTCTGTTACTGGTGGTGACGAGGAAATTATGCACTAGGGGTTTGAAGGCTTGAGGCAATAGACACAAATGTGTCTAGTGTTGTCGCCTCAACTGTTCCTTTTGAAAGATGGTTCCAGTCCCTGATTGTCTTGGGCAGGAATGAGCAGCTCCTATACTGGCTTCTTGCTGGTATGAGCCTGAATTGCCTGTCATGGCCTCGTCGCTGTCTATGGGGGAGAGGGACGAGTTTCTGTTTAATACTGGAACAGTGGACCAGCCCATTATTTATCTTGTACATCATGGAGAGCCTGGATTGTCGTCGTCGTTTCTCCAATGGTGACCAGCCTAGTGTTTCTAGCATGCTGCCAACACTAGAGGTATTCCTGTAGCGGTTTAGGACAAAGCGTGCTGCTCGTCGCTGGACCGCCTCCAACCTGTCAATGCTCTTCTGGGTAAATGGGTCCCAGACTGAAGATGCATAATCTAAAATCGGACGGATAAAGGCTTTATATGCTCTTTCTTTCACACAGGAGTTGCCAATCTTTAGATTTCGCCTTAAGAACCCCAAGGCTTGGTTTGCTTGGTTACATACATTGTTAATATGCTCGTCCCAGCGGACCTCTCTTTGAATGGTAACACCCAGGTACTTTACGGAGGAAACTTGCTCAAGAATATGGCCGTGCAGTTTGTATTGGTAGTGTAGAGGAGTACAACTTCTAGAGATTGATAGTGTCTGGCACTTGGCAGGGTGAAATTCCATGTCCCAGCTCATCTCCCACTCAGCTAACAGATTGAGATCCTGTTGTAGCTGGTCCTGGTCAGATCTGTTGGCGATCGTCCTATACACTGCTGTGTCATCTGCAAACAGTCTTGCCTGTGATGTCAGTTTCTCCGGTAGGTCATTAATGTATGCTAGGAACAAACAGGGGCCCAGGACTGATCCCTGGGGGACCCCTGACTTCACATTGACAAAGGAGGAGCTTGTACCGCCCACCACTACTGCTTGGCGTCGGTGGCTTTTGTTTATTCTTGTGTTGTTACTTGAGTCAACTTTTCTTTAATCCAATGATGGAATGATTTAAATTAAATTTCATTGGTTGATTAATTATAATATTTAAATTTTCCTACATTTTTGAAAATGGCATTGTATTGATTTTCTGACAACTTTTACCTGAAATAAAGTGTGTAAAAGTGTATTCTATAAAATTAAAGTTGGGTTTTCATTATTTGACAATGAATTTGTTTGTATTGTTTTTCTTCATTTTTACAGTTTTCTTAACACAGTGTATATCTGTAGCAGCACACATGTTTTAGTTGAGGGAAAGGAGCATGTACCAGCTGAAATTACGCCAGAAAAGGAGGCAACTGCAGGTCATTCGCGCTTCTTGCCCCATATCTAGAGGGATATAATAAAGTTGCTTCACTTGCCATGAAATTTATGTACCAACTGAAATTATTATATTAAATTTTAACATTTTGTTCCAATTTTCGTTTCTCTCTGTTAATAGCTAAACCAGCACATTCTTGATGGGTCATGGCAACCAAGATGGCAGCTGTGGCAAATGTCATGACGCAGATTACGTACATTTACCAATTTAAATATAGGTAAAGCTTTAATTATGGTTACACAGAATACAAATTTAAACCTTTCGGCAAATGCCTTCATTGGCTTCATCAGGACAAAAAATTGATGTTTGAAAACTCTATTTATCATTATCTCAGTCCAACACTCTTATAATTAGCATATTTATGATGATAGGGGCCATCCATAAATAATGTCACACTCACACGTCTAAAGGCGGGCGGGGGTCACATTTTAGTGACGATGTGTGACGTGGGGGAGGGGGTAAATCAATGTTAAGTAACATTAAAAGCGAAACATTATATATTATAGTAAAAAAACTACCACAAATGACATGAAAATGGCATTGAGTTTAAAGGAACCCGGGTCCAAATAGCGGCTATGCCTATGCCTGTCTGGAACCCGACAAAATGCTATTCGGATGACATTTTGTGGTAGTTTATTTTAGTTAAACCGAAGAAGTAAGTTAAAAAAAATATAGATCATTCAATTATCTTTCATTTTATACTTAATTTTGTCTTACAAACCCTACAATATTATTTTTAATATTTTTTAATAAACCCAAACTCTCACTTCTTTCCACTTCTGATACCCGGGGCCGGTTCTGAATAGCCACAGCCTTAACTTTATGTAAGAAAGACATTCATAAATCATAAGATTAATCTATAAGTATAAGTTAAATGATTTTAAAATTTAAATGTACCGTAAAATAATTAAGTAAATGTCAGTAATAAGTAAAAGGCGTAAACCGTAATTGGTCATAAAAGTGAAAATCAGTTTAAGTAAATTTTAGTTTAAAAAAAACTAAAACTAACTCTTCCAATTCTGCAGCAGTTAAAACATTTTCTTCACTAATGCTATTAAACATCCATTGTAAAAACGACAGATTTGACTCAATTTCGTGAGTAAACTCAGCGGAACGCGGATCTATTGAATTAACTCCAGGGTAACCAATGCGCTTCAAAGTATCTATGAAAAGTTGGTTATCCATGTCCATGTTAAGAATAGTTAAGATTTGTATTTTGATTGAATCGGAGTGGATCCGTTTATGACAAAGCGTCCTCTTAAAGTTGACGGAAAGCCGACGTGAACGCAGCCTTAGGGATTTTTAAATTTTACGGCCTAATGTAGAAACATGTCTTTATTAAAAAAAAACAACTATGCATTATTTTCATTTTCCATAAAACGTTTACATACTTAAGGCCATGCATATTTATATTACAAAATATGATTTTGGTAAATCTGATTTTTTTTACTCATCCCCTGGTCCCCTACCTCTTATTGCTTTTAATGATTTGTGGGTGCGTGCTTTGGTGTGGAGATTAATTGTGTAGCTGTTACTATTATAAATTATGTGCTTTGCAGCATTTGGGAGATGACGATTTTCGTTGATACGGTTTTATTAATAATAATAATAAAGTTTATTTGAAAAACACACTTCATCCCCAAAACCTCGAAGCGCGGTACAAAGTCAACCATATTAAAAAGAGAAATAAAAACAATCTAAAATTTACCACATTTAGTAAGAAGTGACATAGAGAACGCGGATGAAAGAAGACACGCTGTTATTCAATAAAGAACTACGGTATATGAAATATTTATCACGTATTTGTTTAATAATTAATCCTGCCCCATAAACATAAAAGAAGACGTATCAAAGTTATTGACCTGCTTATCTCAGTTAAACAGTTAATAAGTCAAGGATTGCATAGGCATATTGGTTCGTAACAATCCCTTATGACATAAATAATATATCCATTGACACCCACCCCCCCCCCTCCTTATATTATAAAACTTCGAGCACCCACCCCAATAAAACTGAAAAAAGTCACACAAAAAACCGAAACAAGCATAGGAACCAGAATGATCATGATCAATACTTTGATCGTGGGTCCTCAACAGGGTTTCTTTCAGCTATATTTCCGAGGGGGCACTACCCCCCCCCCGGAAAACCAAGTCCCCCCC